TACCACTTGGCTAGATATTATAAAACATAATCTCTCTTTCATTCCTTGATAATTAGCTCCCTTGTCACATGGCTTAATGGGTGGATTGGGTAGGAAAGAAGAGAAAAGAGAGAGTGCATGAGAGAGCTAGAAAGGGGTAAGGGAGAAAGGAGAGAAGTTTAAGGAGAGAAGAGAGAAGGGGGAATGGAAGAATGAGAGAGTTGCCAAATGGGTCCTAATAGCTTTATAATATAGTGTAGATCCCCCATTTTTATCTATATCTATCAGAAGATAATTTGAATTAAAAAAGTTAAGATTTATTTAAATATTATAATGAAATTGTGTAATAACTTTGAAATATTTATTAAAAACACAAAAAATATCATAGATTTAATAATATTCATATTATTAATAATTTTATACTTTTATGAAATTCATACAAAAATTATGTACTAATAATATAAATTATTAAATTTAAATATTATTCATATAACAAAATTTTAAAATAAAAAACATTATTTAAAAATTTCAATAACTAAATATTATAAATAACAAAATATTAAAAATAGCTAAATATTATATAACAAAATATTTAATATTATGTAATAATTTTTAAATATTTTAAATTGTATTTAAATATTTAAATAACTAAATATTTTACATAATGAAATATTTAACATAACTAAATTTTAAATAGTTAAAATAAAAAACTATGTAATAAACTTACAAATTTTATTACAAGTAGAAAATCATTAAAATAGATTTCATAATATTTGAATTAATAATAAGTTTATATTCTACAAAATTAATAAGAAACTTATGTAATAATAGTATAACTTATAATTTTATGGATTATGAAATTCAATAAATAAGGATATGAAAATAACTATACAACAATGATATTATTTAAATATAAAAATAATATTGAAAGTAACTAATTTTAAATATTTAAATATTAAAAATTAATAACTGAATCATATTTTAAATATTATTTAAAAACAAATAAAATAGATTACAAAAATAAATTATGTAATCTCCTTCAAAATTTTATAAAAAACACAAAAAAATAATTATAATAGATTTAATAACATTTTATAATAAGAATATAAAATATAAATATTTTAAATATTATTGAAATGATGAAAAATAGATTAAACAATTTAGAGGTATTGAAGATTTCAAATAACAAAAATACGTAATAACTTTCAAAAAATGTTTTTAATTGATATTAAAAATATAATTATAATTAAAATTATTAATGTACTAATAATAAAAACATTATATACACTAAAATTTATATTTATTGTATTCTTGTGATAAATATATTTTCAATAGTTATTGGAGATTGAATTGTTGTTATTTATTAGAGATTGTAATATTAGTTTAGCTAAAATTAGGAGTGTTCACCTGTTGGTTCAACTCAATTGTAGGTTGTTTGACCAACCAAATTGACCTGGCCGGGTTTGGGAGTTGATCACCCAAAACCAACCAACTTGGGTTATATCGGTTTGGGTCAATTTTCGGTTTGGTTGGTTGGTTCAAAAGATATAAACTTAAAAAATTAAATTTAAAAATTATAGTGGTATTATTAAAAAAATAAAAATATATATATTTACAATATAAATATTTTAAATTAAGGAATATGGAAAATTTCCTACTTTTCCATATTAAAAAGTACATATATGGTTGGGTCGATTTGCTTTTTGTGGTTTTTGTCTATTTAAAAATGACCAAACCAAAATTGACCCGACTTGCTTAGGTTGGAAAGTTGCTAAACCGAAACCCACCAGAAATACTATAAAATTGACCAAATCGAGTTGAGTTGGGTCGTGTTGGCCGTTTTCACCAGTTTGATGAACAACCTAGTTGGAATTAATTATTATTTTTTTATACAAATTTATTAAAAGTAGTATATAAAATATAACTATTTATTAATTATTACAAAAATTTAAATATAAAGAAGTTGTCTACTTTTATGTGATTTTATTGTTTATCTTTGCTTAAGAAAGCCCATGCATCACACAGGTCCTTACTAGGTGCAACTTGAGTGGGTTGGATCGGGTTGAGGGTCAATCCAATCATAAGTCTCAAGCATCAAGCTCAAGCTTGGTCCAATTCAAGGTTAAGCTTGAGTTTACCAACCTAGGCCCAACTCAATGTTAACTAAACGTCATGGGAATTAGAATGGCAATTTCTATGCTACCTTGTGGGTATTCACCCCTATCCACCTTGATAGGGCATTTTTTGTTTTTTTTTTGAAGTACAGGTTTTGGGGCAAGTCAAGTTTTAGTATTATACAACCCGTACATTACAGGTAGGGTATGATATTATTGGAATGCATATAAACTTTATGCATTGGGTGTTGAATTTAATAATATTTTGAATTAGATGTAAATGATAATTGATAGTTTATGTGTTATTTTACATCTTAATCAAATAATTGAAAATTTTGTTGTTTATTTATGTTATTTTACTTATTTATTGCTTTTATATAATAAGAAATAATAGGAAATTAGATGCAGGTTTCAAACCCAACCCACCCCAACCTTTGAATACAGGGAGGGTTTGGATTATCCAAATCCAACCCGCTAGGCAGATAGAAAATAGAATTTACAAAATCCTCGTTGAACACACTCTATTGCCATCTTTGCTTGGGCTAGGCTTGGGCATGTTGAGCGTAACTCAATTTCTAGATAGAATAGGTTGTATATATATATATAATGTTGGGCAAATTTAAATTAAACTGGATCAGTACCTGAGGCCTCAACCTAAGCCCAATTTGAGTTTAGATTAAGCCCGAGTTTTTTTTCCTCAAGCCCATCTTAAAGTTCAAAAAACCAAACCCAATTTGTGCAAAAACTTTGATTGAAATAAGTTGGGCTTGAATTGGATACATCCAACTTGCACCCCTAACTATATTGTCTTAAATTATTTTAACAAAGCCAGTACATCACATAGGTCACAACTAGTATATAATATATATAAAATATACCTATTGTAATATTATATTATATTATACTATTATATATATGGATCGAGGGACTTATACACACACTTTAATTTTAATGAGGGTGGATTTAGGGCACGTCTTAAGTGAGGCAGGTAAGTACCACCATCATCCCATCCCCAATCACGGGTTCATGGTTTCCACAAAACCTGCCCCAAATTCAACCAGTGATTAAAACAAAGGGGAGAATGACGGTTCAGCACAGGGGCAAAATTGTTAGACCGAAAATATAGTTGGGGTAGGTGCCAGCTTGAAATTGATGTCAATTCACGAATGGGCATTGATGTATAGAATAGGGGTTTTTATAATTCTACAGTAGAATTTAGAAATATACATTGTGCCTGTCCATACTTTTCCAGAAAAAATTGCCTTACCAAGACAGGATGAGAGACAGTAAAAGGAATAGTTACCATCTCCGCAGATACTTTGAGGGCAACTGTAAATTGCAATCCCAAATTTAGAAATCTCTTCACACAATTACAATGATGAAATACGAGAAAAAGCATGGTGCGTGGACAATCTTTAACCAATTAGAAATTCAAGTGAACTTGAATGATTACAAATTAATTGGTTATCACTTGTATGGAATATAGTCCGACTTATATCCATATTAGTTTTTTTCCTCGATCACTATAACATGCAGTTGTGCTTGTGATGATGGGCATTTAATGAAATTATCGTTTTGGTGTCCGGAAACAAATAAGGTAGTTTTATCTTTAGCAGGCAATGAGGCAACCCATTATGTCCAATTAATGTGATGGGCCAGGGAAGTAGACTACCATCTGTTATGAAGGAGAAAACACTACGTGGTAGGGATGCCCACTTCATCCCTTTGTCCAAAATCAATATTGAGAATTGATCCACTTATGATTGAATCAAATATGAATTCACCTTTATCCGATCGCACATAATTTGTCATAATTCGATTTAAATATATATATATATATATATGTTTTATTTCATACAATATATTTTCAATTATTTGTATTCACCAAATACATTATTAAAATCATGTTAAAATTTATTTTATTATTGATACATATTGTTTTGATTATTTCATTTTTTTCTAAAATAATCCAGCATAAAATCCATACTACTATTAAAAGCGTAATGATAGTGTGGAACTTTTGTTTGATTACAATTTTTGAATTTGGTTTATATAGGATTATGAGAGCATACAATGTAATTTGAACAATTATATTTCGAGTTGAATAACCTCTCCCAACCATGCATTGGGAACATCTCCCCATGAAGTACATATATATGGAGATATTCACAAATGCAAGGCTGTAAGAGCTGTTTGAACGAGCCTTGCACTGATTAAAGCTGATCACTTAATTTTCTCATCATTTAGTTCCATCTCATTAAGTCATGTGTTTTGGGTATAACTCTCATTATTTCATTGAATCCTATATTAATTAACTACATCAAAGAAAATTAAGTGTGATAAATAATATTTGTTTGTATTGATGATAGAAATAAAATATAAATCTAAAAGCAACAAAAAGAAATGAGTTGTTTTCCTTTTTGGTGGCAAGTCAATAATTCAACATTTGGATTAAACGTGTCAAATCTAAATGTCATAATTAAATAATAATAAAAATTTAAAAGGGTGAAAATACATAAAAACATAAAATAAGAATACAAAAAAGTATAAGGGCTTGTTTGGTTTACAGTCGAAATTGGAATCAAAATGGTCTTGAAAATGAAAATTAGAATCAACAAAAAAATGGGATTTCAGTCTCAAAGAAGGGGCATTCCCTCAAATGGGGGAATAATGGGATTTTGGATCTCTAATAATATTGTATATTCATCAAATTAATAAAAAACAAGTATAACAAATAACAATAATTTTGATCTGCAAGGAAATACAAAAATTTTTTTTTTTTTTTTTTATCATCATCGTAAAAAAATTGCAAAACCAAATGCAATCCCGAACGGGGGAAACCAATTCGATGTTGTCGATCCGTTTCGAATTCCAATATAAGCGAACCAAATTTGGATCCACATTCGACTCGATCCGTTTGCAACCTGGCTTTGGCGATTTTGCGGTTTTACCCGTTTGGGTTCGTCTCTTCTGAATCAACGGGCACGGAACTCGTTTTGGCGGATTCTGGTGTACGAAGTACAAAATACCTCTTTTGTGTGCCAAACCCTCACGTATTACTCTCCGATTGCCGTCGTCGTTTCTCGCCATTTCGTTCAAATTAGTAGCAGAAAAACACTGGCTTTTCACGACGGATTGGTCACATAAAAGTTACAGTAGATGCTTATCCCAGGAACAAGCTTCAAGTTCTGAACTCTAAGTTGCAGACAGACCATGGCTACTACGAGAGATATACAAGAAATAGTGTCTAAGCTTTCATCAGATAAAGCCAAAGTTCGAGAAGTAAGTTCATGCTCCCTCCAATGCCTTTCTGGTAAAGCCTTTTTTACTCCATTTTCTATCTATCTATTTTTCTATCTATTTATTTTTTCTTGCCGATGTTTTAGGAAAGCATAAAACTGTTAAATAGCTGGTTGGAAGGAGAACGGTCGTTTGGATTCTGCAAACTTCTCGTCCAGAATACTCTGAAACTTAAACCAAACGAGATTCCGCACTGTAAGCTTGAATCCTACTCATATATGTTGTGTACTGGCCAGGCGTTTATTGTGGTATGAAGACTGAATTTGTTTTTTGATGCATTGCTTGGACCTTTTATTTACAGCGGAAACATGGCCATTTATCATAAAATTGCTTATCCAATGTGTAACCTTGGAAATATCCACAAGCAAAAAGCGCCCCCCCAAGTTGCTTTTCGCAAAAACTCTTCGAATTGGTATCCAACGAGCAGAAGGTGCTAAATACTCTGGTTAGTAACTGAATTTCTATGGTGGCCCACTCCACTTTTTCCTTTGGTAGATGGTATGTTGGATAACTTCCATGGTAGAGATGTTTTATATAGAAGCTCCTACTATAAAAACATAGAGAAAGCAAAGAAAAGGCTCGATCAAATTGAACTAAAAGAGAGAATGGGAGTTCAAATTAAATGCTGAACAATGAGATGCTATGAGTTTTTGAGATATCATGTTCCCTTTTTATTTGGCAAAAACATTCACTGTTCTTTGTATAAATTGTACATCTATGTGTGTGTGTTTCATTTTTAATGGATATGACCTTTTGAATTTGCTAATAATTTCCCCCTCCTCTTATTCACTCAGGCAAGATGCTACTTCTGTTGTCTGTTGTCAAGCAACTTTTCAATCACATATGGGATGTCTTAAGGGATGTCCCTAGCTTTCAGTCCGAATATGGGATTATTCTGCGGCATCTTTTAGCAGTAAGAGAATATCGTTTTCACATGAGGAAGCGGGTTTACTGCAGTGAGTTGTGTATTTAATGTATTTAATTCTCACTATTTCCTCAAGTTTGTAAATCACTGCTCATTTTTCTGTGTTCTACTTTTCTCTTTACTTGGATAGATCTAGTGCTTCTGTATGTGGGCAAGGTGGAAACAAGCTTGAATAGTGTTCAGTCTTATCCAAAAGAGGAAGTATTCCGCTACATCCTGACACTCCATTCCCTTTTGGAAAACCCTCCTGGAGATTTCACTGATGATCTCAGGGAAGACATTGTTAAAGGGTTCGTTGGAATTTTCTCACATGTAAGGTAGATAATCTCTTCTTGGTTTTATTTTTGTGCCCTCAGGTGTTTCACTTCATACCCAACATTTTGTTATTTTTTTTTGTTTTCTTTTCAAGTTACTGATCATGCTTTGTGACAATTTTCCTTCTTGTGACGTTCTCAGAGATGAGGGGAAGATTTCACGGAAACTTATTGAGTGCATTAATACATATTTGTCAAAGGATGGTCCAAATCTAGGGCACCACTCCATGAGGATCCACCTTGCTGTAGAGGAGTTTTTGTTTCGTTTTTGGATCACAACTCATGATCGGAGTTTGAAGGTTTCCTATCCAAGCGTTTCCATATGCCTTTATTCTGATATTATGGAAGGAATCTGATACATTCTTCTGTGGTGTTAGGATGCATTTATTATGTATGCTAGATTACAGATAAAGCTAATAAGGAGTGCTGCTGATGGGAGGCATTTGATTGAACAACTTTTAGATGTTGTCTGTAAGGAACTTGACCAGAACAACATTGCCAACATTTCTTTGCCCCGGTGAGTCTCAATGTTCTGCAATTTGATCTGTCTGTACTCAAACGATGTGGTCCCAAAAGTTCTTTTTTTTTTCCCGATCGTATGGTCCCAAAAGTTCTTGAGGTGAAAATATATTACATTCAGGAGTGATGCAGCTAGAGTTGATAAGCTTGGAGCGTTGACATCCTCACAATGCGGTTTGATGGAGCTTGCAGCATCTGTTTTTTTCTGGGTACTTGTCTCAAGGCCATGCTTGTCCATTTTAGGTCCTGTTAAGCAATTCATAGATGTTGTATTCTATTTTCTGTTATTATTTTTGTGTTTTAATTGTTTTGTGGGCTTAGATTCTGTCAAGGAACCTAGGGATGATCTTATGATATTTTTTGGAATTTTAGAAATTGATAGACAGTTAAACTTGTTTCAACCTAGGCGCTTTGTGGAATTATTTTTTTCTTAAAAATATAATTGTTTGTAGCTCTAATTATGCTGTTTTTTGTTCCTAGAAAACTAATAGAAAAAGTTGTGAGAATCCTCTAGGCTTCCTCAAGGATTTCATTGAGGAAATGAATACAGGCTATGCAGCCTTGCGGTTGTGAGTTTTCACAGAAATTTATAATAAATCAAAAGAAGATAGGTTCTGTAAATTTAACATAAATAGACAAATATATTCCTAACTGCTGAAGAATGTTCTGATTGGATTTGTGGATGCTTTTAAATGGTTTTTGTTTTTTCCAGGCATGCTTTAAAGTGACTAAAGCATCATCTTCAGAAAAACGTTCTAGGAGGGAGAATGCTGCTACCTGTATAAAGGAGGGGCTCATGAAAGGGAAATGGCTATGGTAATTTTGTTCCAAACCTGTTTTCTGTAAAGTACATTTTGGTTTTGATGTCCTTGACATGCCATCCAGGAGATTCTTTACGGTGATACTAATACAAATTTAATTGTAAAAAATCAAAATAGAAGAAAAGTGAAAACTTCTTCATTCTTTGATGATCCTCAGTTGGGCCAGAAAAAAAGTGCCAAAACTTCACCCATACCATCTCTGAGGACTCCCCCTATATCTGAAGGACCTGGATTTCCAAACAAGCTACCAACAAAATTCAATTCAATTCTATACTTTGTTTTTTTTTTTTTTTAAAGGATCAATTTAATTCTATTGTTACTAGGTGGAACCCACTCCTCCTGAGGGCTCCACCGATTCACGGTGGTCATTGTTTATCAAAGCTAAACAATTCTTGATTGCTATATTTCATTTTCCTTCTTTATTGGATACTTTAATATCTTGTATTAAAATTAATTATTGTCTGTATGATTGTCAGTATTTTCTTCGTAACTAGTACTATGACTGATGTTTGTCTTGATCTCTTATACTGTATTTACATGTGAACGTTCTCCTCCTCTTACCATGTGCTGCAGGAATAGTGCCTTTTGTTTTCTCATTCGGAATTATCATTCTCGTATTTCTAAGGATCTTGTTATCTACTGGTTTGAGGGCATCTGTGAAAGCTTTCATAGGTACTTGCATTTCCATGTTTGGTACAATCTCTTGCCTAATCTATAAGCATAAATTCACAAGTACCATGCTATGTGTTGATTATCTTTTAATGATAGTTCCAGACATCATTAAAAAATTATAGTTTCAGATGTAAGAACTCAAAAAGTACATATTATTTAGTTTTTAAATTTTATCGAATTCCAGGATTTTCTTTCAATTTTGAGCTATTTGACATTTCAGATGATCTTGTGGAAGTCCTTTTGTTCTTGGGGCCTAAGGAAGCCCTAGGCAATTGCATCCACATATTGACTGTATACCTGAAAGAGTTTTGCATTGTTGTCAATTAGTTGCTACTTGGTATATACTTGAAAGAGTTTTGTATTGTTGTCAATTAGTTGCTCCGTTACATATGGTTGTGGAGGTCCACTTACCTGCTCGGATGGTCATCATAGTTGATGAAGTATGCTTAATTTTTCTTTCATTTTGGATCAATAAATTAAGTTTTTTTTTTTGTTTTTTCTTTTGCTTGCAGGATATTGAATGATGGAAATAAGGATCATTCATATAATGGTTTGCTCTGGGTATTGAGGTATGCATCTTACTTTTTTCCCATGTTGATCACGAGTATGATAATGACCAGTTGCTCAATTTTTATTCAGTGGCATCACTTTTTTTTTTTTTTTTTCTTTTTTGGTTCCCTTTCTCTTCTAGGTTTTATTTTATTGATATGCATATTATTTTTTTTGATAACGAGAAAGTTTATATTAGAACAAAAGGAGAGGGACACCCTCAAGCCAAAGGGCAATACAGATAGAGAAAACACACACACACAAAGGGAGGGAGGGAGACAAAGCACACAGACACACACACACACACACACACACACAGAGGGGGACACAACAAACACAAGAAACTCCACTAAACAGAAGAGGGGGATACAAAGACTAAACTATCCCAACGATCCGAAAACTGACTGAGACTACAGCCAGCTAAGCCCTTTGAACTAATTACTCATGAACAGAGAATGCCTGCATTCTGCCCATATGATTCATTATATTGTTGTACATACTTCTCTCTTCTTTGAATGCGYGTTTTTTCTGCAATTCATCTTTCCTGGAAGTACTTGTAATCTCTCTCTCTCTCTCTCTCTCTTTCTCTCTCTCTCTCAATTGCTATTTTATGCAATGCATCTTAAAGGAGCCTGCAGGAACTGTCTTCTGTGTTGCTTCCTGTTTCAAGGGTGGAGCTTTGGCAATGCTCATTTCGTATTTATACTGAGGTATTTCTTCTTTTATTATTTACATTTTATTTTTATACCCATCTTGTTTTACTTCTTGCACAAACTACAGGGAGATCCCTTTGAAAATCTAATTGCTGATTACCCTAGTAACTCTGCCTTTTTTCTTTTCTCCCCTTTTAGGGGTGGGTGTCTGAGGTTGACTTGGTTGTGGGTTATATGGGTTGGTTTTTCTGGTTGATATTTATTTTTGTTGCTTCTTTAGTAGTGCAAGGTTTTAGAGTCCCTATTGGTCAGAATTTGTAGGATATTTTGCATTAATTTCTTTATGTTGGGTTCGGAGACCTTGGTTTTGGTTAGTGTGGGGATTTTCCCATGGGTGTTTCTTATATCAATAAATCCTGGTCAATTTTAAGTAACCATTTATTCCCCAGTATGGTAGTGGTAAATGCTGTACGTTTCTGTTCTTTTATTATTTTTGATAGTAAAATAAATGTATTAAATAAAAAAGAAAGTACAAGAGGTGATAAGAAATCGCTCAAAAGAGAAAGTAACAAAATGGAATAACAGTAACCCAACTTCCAATCAAACAAAGAGATTGGATGGGATGGTTGAAAGACCCAGCTTCAGCCATGTGGCAACACAGAGATTTATTAAGGAGAGTAAACTGGCTTACAAGAAATATGACTGTTACCTCTCTATGGGTGGGAAGATCAGCAAACACCTTAGCGGATGGGTTAGCTAAGCAGGGGGCTACAAGGGAGCAGCTATTTTGGGCTGCTTTGTAATTTTATTTATGGTTAATTCTGTTTTATTTTGATGTAATACTTTTCTGAAGAGATAATAGCTCGTGCCTCTTCAGTGGTGTTTTTTCCGAATTAATAAATTTCTTCATTCATCAAAAAAAAAAAACTTCCAATGAAACAAATCAAGAACAATACTACCACTCCAGAAAACAAAAATACTCCAATTGTTTTTCTTTTTCCACAAATCAACATCAAAACTAGCAACGACCTCTGATAATAAAAAAGCTAATTAAGAGCAAAACAATTTTATATTAAAGATCATTAATAAGTGGGAAGCAAAAAGATAAACTCCTTTGATAGAGTCTGGTGAGCCACACCTGGGCCCCCTAATATATTGATATTGCCCCCACTGTCTGCCCCATTGGAACTAAAACTCCAGGTTCCTACCCAAATTAGACTTGGGAGAAACCAAATCAGAAGCAAAGACATTTCTTTTACTGCTTTTGCTATGTTTTCCCTTTCTATGATCCCTGCTCCAGATATTGCCCCTTCCACAACCCCAGCTCCACCTACCTCCCTTTCTACAGCCCCCCTGTGTCTGTTTCACAGTAAGTAAGAATTGCATTAGTGCAACGGGTATATCAGCAGATAAATACTAGCATCATTTGATTCCATGCTCTTGACAACTAAAACAGAACCCTGAATCCTTCTCGGGGTCATTCTCAAGTCTGTCTCTTTCTTCCAATTATCTAAATTATTACACACACCTTGCATGTCTTCCCTGAAAGGTCTCCCAATTTTTTTCTTAATTCTGATATCGATGTGGCGTTGTGGTCCATCCTATTAAACTGGAGCATGCCGAACAGTTCATACAAAAGACTTTTGAATAATTTGATTAATAGGTACTAAAGACTTGTTGGCTACAAATTATGGTATGCGGGAGAGGTAAGTGGTGTAGAGATAATAGTAGATTAGGATTTAAAAAATGAAATTGTAAATGTTAAAAGATTTGGGGGTAGAATAATTTTAATTAGACTTGTTCTAAGTGAGGAAATTATTAACATAATTAGTGCTTATGCACCTCAAGTGGGCCTAGAAGAAAACATTAAAAGACAATTTTGGGAAAACTTAGAAAGATTAATCTAATAAATTCCAAATGAAGAGAAGATTTTTATAGGAGTAGACTTAAATGGGCATGTAGGTAAAAGAAGTGTAGGATATGATATGGTGCATGGAAGATTTGGGTTTGGGGAGAGGAATGAATCAGGAGGTACAACACTAGATTTTGCAGTAGCTTATGATATGGCAATTTTAAACACCTTTTTCCAAAAGAATGATGAACACTTCATAACATTTAAAAGTGGGTCAAACGTAAATCAAATTGAATTTTTTCCTTACGAGGAGAACAAAATGAATGATGTGTAAAGATTGCAAAGTTATTCTGGGAGAAAGCTTAAGAACACAAGATAGACTAGTGGTGGTAGATGTGCGCATTAGGAAATGGAAGAGAAATAGGGAAAAAATAGGTGTCCAGGAATTAGGTGGGAAAACTTGAAAGGGAGAAAACTAGCTCAATTCAGAAACAAATTGATAATAGAAGGAAATTGGAATTTAGATGGCAAGATTAATGATATTTGGCTTGAAATGTGAAACAATATAAAGAAAGTAGCAAATGATGTTTTAGGAGAATATAAAGGGAAGTGACAAGGTACTAAAGAAACTCGGTGGTGGAATGAAGAGGTTCAAAGTATAATTAGATTAAAATGAACACGCTACAAAGAATGGCAAAAAGCTAGAAATGTAGAAAATTGGGAAAAACATAAAACCATAAGAGAGGAAGTTAAAAAAAAAGTGAATGAAAAAAAGTGACTTTTACCATAAATTCAGCACTAAAGAGTGAGAAAAAGGAATGTATAAACTAACAAAGCTGAGAGAAAGGAAAGGCAAAGATTTAAACCATTTTTGGTGCATTGAAGGTGAAGATTAAAGAGTCTTGGTAAAAGATGAAGAGATCAAACAATGATGGAAAAACTATTTTGAAAAATTATTAAATGAACATGGAGAGGGTGCTAATAAAAGAGAATCTAGCAATACTAGTAGTGTTAAAAATAATACATATCTTCGAAGAGTTAGGCCTATTGAAGGAAAAGAGGCACTAAATAAGATGAAGAAGGGAAAGGTGTTAGGGTCTGATGGGATTCCAATAGAAGGAAGTATGGGAGAGGTAGGCTTGTTATTGCTAGCCAAGCTATTTAACAAGATAGTAAAAGAAAAAAAGATGTCTCATGATTGGAGAAATAGCGGTATGGTTCCTATATTTAAGAACAAAAGTGACATATAAAGTTGTAATAACTATTGGGGAATTAAACTTATGAACCACACTTGAAACTTTGGGAGAGAATAATTGAACAAAGATTACGACTTGAAACAAGTATATTAGAGAGCCAATTTGGCTTTATGCCAGGGGGATCAACCATGGAAGCTATATTTGTTTTGAGACGATTGATAGAAAAGTTCATAGAGAAAAAGACCTTTATCTTCATATGGTGTTCATTGATTGAGAAAAGGCATATGATAGAGTTCCTAATGAGATAATATGGTAGATCTTGGAAAAGAAAGGGGTCCAAAATAGGTATATAGACCTAATTAAGGATATGCATGAGGGAGCAACAACCAATGTTAGAACACCAGTGAGAGAGACTTCATATTTTACATTTATTATGAGTCTTCACCAAGGTTCAACACTTAGCCATTATCTATTTGCATTGATCATAGATGAATTGATTAAACATATTTAGGGGGAAGTTCTATGGTGCATGTTGTTTTCGGATGTTTAGTTGATGAAACTAATGAAGGATTAAATGCAAAATTTAGCTTATGGATAAATGCCTTGGAAACAAGAGGTTTTAAAATAGGTAAGACTAAAACATGGTATATGACATGTAAATTTATTAAGAATAGGAGTGTAAATCAAGATACACTTAGGATTGGAGGCCAAGAGATAACTTGATGTGACCATTTCTGGTATCTTGGTTCAATAATTCATAACAAGGGAGAGATTGAGTAGGATGTCATCCAATGAATTTGAGCAGGATGGGCAAAATGGATGGGTGTGCATTTGGACTTTTATGTGATAGGCAAATACCACTTAGATTAAAAGGAAAATTTTATAAAACAGTTGTAAGGCCAGCTATGTTCTATGGAGCAGAGTGTTGGGCAGTCAAGAAACATGTCCAGAAAATGAATGTGGCAGAACTGTGAATGCTAAGATGGACGAGTGGAAAAATTAGAAAGGATAGGATTAGGAATGAAGTTATCAGTAAGAACCTAGGAGTAGCTCCAATAGGTGATAAATGAGAGAGAGTAGACTAAGATGGTTTGGGCACGTGCATAGAAGACCCCCAACTACGCCAGCTAGAAGAAGTGATCCATTACAATTTGAAGGGGCTAGAAGAGCTAGGGGTAGGCCAAAAAGGACATGCGTAGAAGTAATAAGAAACAATTTAATAGCGGATATCTTTAAATAGAATGGATTGACAAAACAAGATTCATGTAGCTGACCCCATATAGTTGGGACAAGGCATTGATGATGATGAGGTACTGAAGACTTCTTCCTATCAGTCTCAACACCATTCCCTGAGGGATCCTCCTCTTGTGTTCTCAAGAGATTATAACGAAATAACGAAGAGACCTAATGATCCCCCCCGCCATCTTGGGCCTCTTCATTTCTGATGGAGGGAAAAACCATGAGGAGAACCAGGTATATATCTGATGGAGGGGATAACCTCAAGATTTCTCTCATCTTGGTTTTGTCATATCTGATGACCTAACACCACAAGGTGACTATTAAGCAAACCATGCAGTCTCTAATAATTCCCCCAATAGCTGATAGTCCAGGATTGCCTAAGCTGCACCCATCAAAGTTTATCTTATGGGCATCAATTTGGGGAGGATTCCATTGCACTAATCTGTTTGACTTTGGTCTAGCAGAATCAGCCACCCATTGTCACCTTGTTATATCATCCATGGAGAAGTTATCTAAGGATGTAGTGGTCTTTACCCAATGGCATACCTTAAACACTATTTTCCTTTCCAGCACCTCCTCTTTCTGTCTAGATTTATTAAAGAAAATCCTTCCACAAGTTCTTTAATATCTTTATGTTATTTTGGTTTCTAGTTATTTTGTCAATATGTTGAAAAAATTGATTGACCAATACACATATTTTTCAGCTTGGTAGCAGTTGGCATAAAATATGGAGCTGTTTAATGCATGGACTGCCTATATTCAGTAATGTGACTTCAGTTGTAAGTTTTCTGTCAACAATTTTTCCCCTGAAACAAACTCTGCCGAGAGAGCATGTCTGCTGTGACTGTAGTCACAGAACTCCCCTGTGACCCCCTGGTGAAACATGAATACATCAGTGCTGGAAATAAAAAGCAGTTCAGGTGGTGTTTTGAATTTATTTCCATTGCTAGTGTGTTTGTGTTTCATTGGGGTGTGGGGGGAGGGGGGTTCTGTGACCGTGGTCACAGCAGATGTGAACTCCTCTGGTGATTGGTTAATGATGTTGGTTGCTTTCTGACTGTAAGTTTGATTACATCATATGTCTAGTTTTGAGAACAAAAATCTTCTAAGTTGACATGTTCATTGATTATTTTCTTACTTACTAGTTCGTAATTTTTGCAAATTAATGCCATTGCATTTGGATGTTTAATTGATGATGCTGATTGCTGGGTTCTTTACAACTGCTGGTTTGTTTTACACCTTGAAACACTGCTTTTAACTTGGAAAACCTTTTTGGAAGTTGATGCCAATCTGTATATATATTTTTTTGATAGGTAAAAAAAAAATATTACAAGAGAAAAGCTGAATACAAGCTAAAGTCAGGTGTTAAGATAACACCCACAGACCCAACAACTACTTCAACTAACCGCCTACAGCAATGAAGAAACAAAGAAAGAAAAACATGAGAAAGCACTAAACGCAGGAAACACTCCACCTCTCTATCAACTAGAGTCTTCAAGTCCACTCCTCTTAACTCCGTTGCCTTATCCCCTGCCGTCACTTCAACAGGAACCTCTTTCCAAATAACATCGGACCAATTTGTTTTTTCTAAACAGTCAGGCACTTTCGGCTCCATCTTTTGGGAGTCCACCACAGGGGAAACCTCTCTAGCTCTTTTGGAAGAGAGGGGCGACTCCAGGCACAAGTTCTTGAGACTAGGGGGTTATTTTTAATCTCTTTTCTTTTGTAAATTCTTTTATACTTATTAGTCTGCCCAGCTCCCACCAAACCATCTTTCAATCTCTAAAAAACCTTCGCTACATGAATCACATTAAGCTTGTTTGAAGCTCTGGTCTTCTTAGGAATCTCCAAAACCTCACCACTTTCACCAGACCTCTTCTCCTTATCCCTGCGACCAAGATCCAAACCCAGTCTTCCTACAACCACTTTGGAAACCTCATAATCGACACCACTCCTAATAAACTTATCTTGGAGGTTTGAAGCCATCCCCTTCTCTCCCTCAATTTTTGAAAAGCCACTTCCTCCCTTAGTGATGGCCTTCCTCCTTGCAATTAATGATCAAGATTTTAATCTTGTTAGGAATAGTCTCATGGAAATAGGATGTTTTGTGGCTATTGTTTGGCGTTTGAAAGTTTTTGCAAAATTGAGAAGGATTGGAAAAAGATGAAAAGTTTTTATGGGAATCAAGAAATGTTAAAAAAAGAATTATTAAAACACCTTGATTTTAGTGAAACAGAAAACAACTAATTAGAAATGATTAATCTCGATCAAATCAACCTTGATCAAATCCCGTTATCTAGCACTTAGCATAAACAGCTTAGATCCAAACCAGTCAGAAGTTCAGGGAAATTCGGTTCCCCCAAGGGTAGAACCATTGCCTGGTTAGTGGCGGTGGACAGTATTTTAACAGTGGATCATCTAAAATTAAGAGGCTTCAGTATGGTGAATAGGTGCTGSCTATGCGAGGAACAAGAGAATGTCAGACATCTGTTTATCAAATGCAAGTTTGCTGACTTCCTTTGGAGATTGTTCACCAAAATGTTTGGGGTACCTGATTTTTATCCAAATTCAGCTTCAGAAATCTTTTCTGCTTGGCCAATGTTAAGAGGTTCCAAGAAGGCTAAGGTGATTTGGAGCTGCATTCCGTTCGCAATATGTTGTAATATATGGAAGGAGAGGAATAGAAGAATTTTTGATGTCAAATTCTATAACATGGACAGGATAGTAGCTGCTGTAAGCAAGTTGGTTGCTGATTGTGTTATGGTTCATCCAGAATTTAGACATATTGATAAAGAGGAACTGGGGGAAAAGTTAGGGAAGTGCTGGGAATTCAGATCTGTAATTTGGAAGATTTGTTCTGAGGTTGGATCCTTTCATTCATGGTTGTAATTGGGTGATGCCTTATCACCATCATCTTGTATTTTTCTTTTATTTTAACGAAAATTTTGTTTATTACCTATCAAAAAAAAAAAACTCTGGCATATTGGCCTGTCTACTATCTATCAGTTTTTAAGATTTTTGTGAGGATTCATAGAATCCTAGAGAAGTTAATCAGGGATTTATTGTGGGAACTCGGGGAGGAAGGGAAGGATAATAGGGATTTCTTCACTCTCATCTCCTTTATGACCTTTTGTTCTCTCCTGGAAAACTCCATTTTGGAGATTTCTACTGTTGCAGCGGATCACCTGCTCTCTCTCTCATGGAAAAGTGCATTAGGCATTGGACAGCGAAATGTCTTAGAGTGCTGATGGGTTAATGACTTTATATTCATCTTTTAGAAAAAAGAGAAAAACTCAAAAAAACAACAAAAAAAGAATGCTACTATTGTAGACAATGCTGTTTATATATATATATCTGATTATTTGAAATATTACAGAATATATTTGCATTTTGTTATATTCWTTCTGCTGCTTTAAATATATGTGAGGGAATATGGTTAGGTGATGGTATATAAAATAGAAAAAAACATAAAATAAAAGAAGGCAGTGTAGGAGTTATTTTAAGTTTTCTTCCAATCAATAGTATGCTAGTAAGGAACAAGTTAGTAAGCCCAAAGAAAAGGGTGGACTTGGAATAGGAAATTTAATTCAAAAAGATTTAGCCCTCTTAGGAAAATGGCTGTGGAGGTTTCCCTTAGAAAGTGATAGGCTTTTGCACAAGGTAATTGAAAGCATACATGGTCAATCGGACAATGGCTGGGATGCAAAGGTAGCAACTAATGCAACTTCATTCTCCCCTTGGAATGCAATTTTTGAGGTATATCCCTCCTATGTTAATCTTATTAATATGATGTGGGTAATGGATTGAGAGTTTTGTTTTGGGAGGACCTTTGGATAGGTGAACAACTACTAAAGGTCCAATTTCCTGCGCTTTATGCACTCTCCTACTACAAATTTGAACCCATTTCTAAGTTTGTGAATTTCTCTACCTCAGGTTTAAGTTGGGATCTTGGGTTTAGAAGGGGACTTGGGGAAACAGAGTGTGAATCTTCCATTCTTCTTTTGGCTAGACTTGACTCTATCTTCTTAGATCAAAATGTGGAGGACAATAGGGTTTGGTCCATTTCTCTAGATGGCCTTTTCACTTGTACTTCTTTTTTTTTTTTTTAATTTCTTAGTTCGCCTTCTCCTTTGGGGATGAATTTCCCAATGAAAGAAATTTAGAGTCAGCCAATTCCTCCAAAAATTCAGGCTCTTTGTTGGGAAGCCTTCCTTGGAAAGATCAAAAGCTGTGATATGCTGTGGAAAAGAAGGCCAAATAAGTGCCTATCCCCTCACATGTGCTTTCTCTGCAAAAGCAATGGTGAAACCATTTCCCGTATTTTTTAACCCGTCCTTTTGTACTTTGCATATGGGAGCATCTTTATTCTCTCTTTGGGTGTACGTGGACTCCTCCATAGGATGAGGTGGGTCTCTTTGATCCAAATTTCCTGAGACAGCCAAAGAAATGGGGAAGAATTATGTGGAAAGCAATGAGAGCAGCCATGTTATGAACTGTTCGGGAAGAAAGGAATGGGAGGATTTTCAGTGAAAAGAGTAGAACAGAGGTGGAGATCAGTGACACAATCAAAATTAAAGCTGCACATTGGGTGAAGACCCTGGAGGATTTCCAAGTTTTCTCACTAAATGGCATTTTGAGAACTTGGAAGGAAGTGGCACTATCAGCTCAAGTCAAGGAAAGAGTAACTATGGACTGGACACCCCCAGCAACTGACTTTGTTAGACTCAACTTTGGTGGAAGTTATATTGGTAATCAAGATGCGGCTGGGTAGGGTCTTCCAAGTCACAGAAGGAAAGGTGTTACAATTGTTTTCAGGACCCTTGGCAGATGGTAATGCATTGACAGCTGAGCTGTATGGACTACTCCATGGTTTAAAATTTACAAAGCAATTTAGTTTCCACAACTTGGAGGTGGAAGGGGACTCTCAGGTGGTCATTTATTGGACAAAATGTAGCTCTCAAATATTGCGGATCTACAGAGATACTTTTTGGGAAATAGAAAGCATAACAAGGGAACTGAATGTTTTCTTTAAATGGGTAAGAAGAACAGCAAATGGGATGGCGGATGGCCTAGCTAAACAAGGGATAGCTAGGCATCAAATGTTTTGGGGAACATTATAAATTTTAAATCTGTCTTCAGGATGGAGAAAACTCCCACCTTATTGTAATACTTGAACTTGATTTTAATAAAATCTCCTTTTATTGATAAAAAAAATAGTATGTTAGTATGGAGTTTCTACAAAGGGCACATCTAATGGTCAAGGTTGCACTCTTCTTTGGAAAACAATGGCTCTGATTCCCTATCATAGCCTTTCTAGCCTAATTTTTTATTTGTTTGCACTTTGCAAAACAAGACTGTAAACTTAATGTTCAATATCATTCTTTTCTTGCGCAATTGTGGTCTATATTAACTTATATATGAGATTGCATCGATATTGTTAACTTAGAACACATTTTTTTATTGACTAGTTATCGCCTAGGTGCCAAATAGTCATTAATGAGCTTGCTTCTCCTTTCTCCTTATTATTCTTGCTCTAGCTTTTTTATTGACAACACTGTAAATATGTTCTATGCTATGCATTTTACAATATTTTTTCCATGTATCTCATGTTCTAATGTGTTATGCCATGTTTATCATTCCACAGGTTGATGCTGCCTTGATACTTCTTGGGAATATTATTTTGAATGCAAATGTATGAGCCTTTCTATGTGTCAAGTCTTCCTGACATTTTTCTTTGGATTATTAAAGAAGAAACGGTTCTCCACACAGTAGTAGGCTTCGGCTACAAGTAATATCAAGCAAACAAAGATGTAGAAGAAGCAAGAAGAGAATACTGTAGAAGAAGTCAACTTTAATTGAAAAAAAAACAGCTTAGACTGACTTAAAATTAAGACTGGCAAATAGTGTTACATGCTGTGCTATGGGGAGTTTGGGAGGAAAGGAACAATCAACTGTTTGAAAACAAGGCTAAATCCAAGAGTGAGCTGATCTCTCATATCAAATATCACTGCAATTTGTGGGCTTCTAACTCAGATTTGTTTAGAGGAATCAATGCTAACGATCTTAACAGGAATGCTGTTAACTTTCTGTTCTCCTCTCCTTCCATCCCCCACACCCCCAGGGTTCCATCCCACACACCGCTAGAGTAGTCTTTCATCCTTGATGGTGACGAGAACCTCCAATGCTGCAAGGATAGTCTGTTCTGGCATTGGTTCCAAATGGTGTTAAAAGGTCAAAGGAGGTGTATTGTCATTGGCTCCAAAACATTCGAACTTGATACAAGCTGATCTCTCAGGGATGGGGTGTTGGTGATTACAGAGAGGGGAAGAGGGGCATGGTCCTGAATCTTTCTTAAAGAAGATGAGGTAAGCTGGATTGTAGGTGCTTTGGAAAAATTACTAGAAAACCGCAATAGACTTTTTGAATCGTTAAGACGAGCGGACAGGTGAAGGATAACCTCATTTTCAGTTGCTGAAAATAGATGGGGAAGATACATAAGGTTAAGCCCTTGGGAAGGAGCGAGAAGAACAAGAAACATTTGTATTCCAGAAGAAGCTAACACTTTAGGGTGGGAAACGATGTCAAAAACTTTTTCGTTTCTCGCCAGAAAGGAAAGACCAGAAGTTGTTCCCCCCTTGATAGAGGAATTTCCAGGCTTAGAGAAAGGAAGAAGCAGAGTGACGGTGGTTGGAGGAAGAGCTTTCATATCCATGGTCCATAGACTTGGTCTGTTTGGAAATTGGAAGACAACCTTCGTATGCACCAATCCAGAGGACATAAGTTGGAGAGACGTGGAACTGGGCATCTCAACGAACTTGCATTCCCCGACATTGTTAACTCTGAAACTCTTTGAAACAAACAAGGCGGTGGGGTTTGCCCCGTCGGAGGAGACAGTCAGCAAGTGGGCGAGGTTGGGATCAGTGTTTGTGAATGGGAAGAAGGTGTTGATTGACCGGTGGTGGCTGAAAGTGAATGACAACCTCACAAATCTGAGTTTTGATGGTTGGATAGTGATACACGGCCTCCCCTTTCATCTGTGGACAGTGGAGACGTTTAACCAAATAGGAAGTCTCTGTGGGGGACTGGAGGTTATTGACAATCGAATGAGAGATTTCCAGGTGCTTCGGTTTGCTAGGATTAGGGTGAAAGGGAGAGGAGTGTTCGCGATACCTTGAGTAGTTCCCATTCTTGACAGAGAAGTTTGGTTCCACCGTTCAATTGAGGTCAAAAGGAAGAAGGTCGAGCCTGGGGAGGAAGAAACTGAATCAACTCACCAACCCGAGCCCAACACACGTGCCAAGTCAAGGAGAGTCACATTGCCAACTACTAACCAGGTGAACTTGTGTGGGGTGCACAACCAACCTGCAACAGAAGAGATTACGTTTGGAAGAAGCAAAGCCAAGCACAATAACTGTTTTAGGAAGTTTGGCGGTAACGTGGAGGAAGCTTGCGGAAGAAAAGGAAAGTCCACTCAAAATTTAAATTTTAAGCAAAAAGCTGTTCAAGGAGAAAGAGAAAGCTGGTTGCAGACAGGCAATCCCAACAAAACCTGACCCGAGAGGGAGACCCGACCCTCTTTTCTAGTTCCTGACGGAGCTGAGAGTTTGGGACAAATAAAGACAAAAGCCCATTTTGTTCAGTTGTGTTGGGATACAATTAAGTCTGATCTGTTGGAGGTGTTTTCAGATTTCTACATTTCGGCTGTCATGAATAAAGGCAACAACTCGACCTTTATCACTCTAGTTCCAAAGAAAGAGGGGACCTTGGAAGTTAAAGACTTCAGACCTATCAGTTTGGTGGGGAGCTTATACAAAATTGTGGATAAAGTTCTAGCGACCAGACTAAAGGAGGTGCTGAAAGATTTAATTTCAAGCAGCCAATTTTCCTTTGTGAAAGGGAGACAAATTATTGATAGTATACTTGTGGCAAATGAATGTGTAGAAGAAAGAAGACAAAGTGACAAGGCAGGGGTAGTAATCAAGCTGGATCTAGAAAAAGGCCTATGATAAAGTGGATTGGGACTGCTTGTTGGAGATTCTAAACTTGAGAGGCTTTGGAAGGAGATGGGTGAGGTGGATTAGAGGGTGTATAAGTTCTGCTTGGTTTTCAATCCTAATAAATGGAGAGCTGACTGACTATTTTAATGTAGACAGGGACCTGAGACAAGGGTGCCCTCTCTCCTCCCTACTTTTTACTTTGGTAGCTGATATCCTTTGTTATTTACTTCAAAAAGCAAGGGAGAGAAACCTGCTGAAAGGATTTGAGGTAGGTACAGTGATTTAAAAGGCGTGCCTAGGCGCACAGGCGAGGCGCATTCTAGGGTAGGCGCCTCGCCCAGGTCCCAGGCGCAGCCCTTTCAAAAGGTACACACCTGGTGTGCCTTGCGCCTCAGCCCAAGCATGCACCTTTTGAAAATTTGACGCTTTTTCCTTTTTTTGAGTATAGTGGCTGGGCTGGGGGCTCTGCCCCCGGATTCCCATGCCACGCCCCTCGAGGCCAGCCCAAACAAGTCCATGTTAGGGCCTTAAATTCTTAGTTTTCACACAAAAAATAATGATTTTATAGCTTTAATTGCTTTTTAAGAAGATATTTTATTAGGATGAATGAATGGACAACATTACCAAACAACTCATTGGAGCTTCGAGAACCCCCTATTTGGTAATGTTGTCCATTCATTCATCCTGATAATATATCTTCTTAAAAAACAATTAAAGCTATAAAATCATTATTTTTTTTTGTGTGAAAACTAAGAATTTAAGACCCTAACATGGACTTGTTTGGGCTAGACTCGAGGGGCGTGGCACAAAGGCGGCTCGTAGAATTAGGAATGTGATATGTTTCATTAGCTACTTGAAGTAATGCAATTGAGAAAAAAGAGATTGTGGGTTTTATATGCTTGAAAATGTTTTATATGTTTGATTTCATTTTTAAATTCTCATTTGAAATTTTGAGTATGCTTTACATATTATGTTTATGTATTTTTATTTTAGATAATAGGTTTTTAAAAACGTTTATTTTAAAATTTATGTTTATATTTTTTATTAATATTGTGTTTAATATTTTTTGATTTTTTTGAATTTTTAGCATTTTTTTTTGTATTTTTGCACCTTGCTTCAAAAAGGCGTGTGCCTCTCCTTCCGCCTTGCGCCTTGCGCTTTTAAAACACTGGGTAGGTAGGGAAGAAATTCAGATATCTCACTTGATGTTCGCAGATGACATAATCTTGTTCTTGGAGGTGGATTGGGAATACATCTCCAACCTAAAATGGGTATTAAATATTTTTGAGCTGGTGACTGGGCTTAGAATTAACTTCAACAAAAGCAGTACTGTAGGCATAAATGTAAATGGCTCTCTGCTGGAAAGGTTCAAGGAGCTGTTAGGTTGTAAATTGGAGAAACTTCCTATCACCTATTTGGGAATGCTTTTTGGTGGGAATCCAAGGAGTCAAAGTTTTTGGGATCCAGCAGTAGAAAAATGCGAGAGAAGACTGGCTATGTGGAAGAAAAGGATTTGGAAGCTTAATCCTGCCAGCAAGTTCTCACCTAACTCCTTTTTTAAGGCTCTAGTTTCAGAAGATCAGATCACTCCCTTCCCAGTTAAGAACGTTTGGAGACCACATGTTCCCCCTAGAGATTCTTTCTTTGTCTGGGAAGCCTGCTTAAAGAAAATAAATACTTGTTATTTGATACAGAAAAAGCTTAGAGGAAGGTTATGTATGTCCCCTCATGTCTGTCCTCTCTGCCTTGGTGATGGTGAAACAGCTAACCACATTCTTCTCCACTGCCCTGTCACTAGGAAGGTTTGGTGTTTCTTCCTAAACTTGGTTACAGCTGGTTTTTCCCTGAGAAGGTAGTGGACCTCCTGTGGCAGTGGAAAGGCAAAGGTCTAGGAAAAAGAGGAAGGGTATATTGGAGTACAGTGACACATGCAGTCCTTTGTGGTATTTGGGAAGAAAGGAACAACAGAACCTTTGAAAACAAATTCAGAAATGTGGAAGACCTAATCTCTTACATTACTTTTCTTCTGTAACCTTTGGGTGGTTTATTCTGAAGCTTTCAAAGGTCTGTCTCTAAATGACCTCCAAAGTAACCTTCCAGCCATCCTGCAGTCCTCTCCTACATCTGGATCAACCATGAGAAGCCTTATTAGGGAAGAAGGTGGGTTCATCCTACACTTTGATGGTAGTGCCCAAGGTACCAGCCAAGCGGGAATTGGTGGTGTCTTCTGTGGGGAGAGGGGGATCAGCTGGGCTTATAGTGGTCCGATTGGGAGAGCTGATGCTACAAAAGAAGAGGTCTTGTCAGCACTTGCAGGAATTTGGCTTGCTAAACAGCTGGGCTTTTGCTCCTTAACTATAAAAGGGGACTCTGCAAATACGATAGCCTGGCTAAGGGAGAAGGAAGGAGGGCCTTGGAGATTTGCTCATCTGCTAGCTGAAGCTCGAGATATCTTAGAGGCATTGAAAGTAAATCTGGTCTGGATTCCTAGGGAGCAAACCACTGTTGCAGACATTCTTGCAAAATCAGGGGTTTCTAAGGAAAGTTTGTATAGTGACTTCTGCATACCTCTATTATTCTGTCTCAGCTGCTTTAGCTTGTAGTACATTTTCTCATGTACTTGTTCCTGTTTTAATTTAATAAAAGTTACCTTTGCTCAAAAAAAAAAAGCTATGGCAGAAAATAGAAATGAAACTCCTTTAATGACATTCTGCAATGATAATAATTACAGAGTACTTTACAAGACTGTCAACCTGTTTCTATAGACTAAGTAAGAAATGAAACCACACTTCTTATTTAGATTCAAACTCCAATAGAAAATAGAAATTTCCTATTTAAACTAGGAGACCTTTGTAGATCTACTAATTTATACTAGTATTAGAAGTACGAATGAGCTTGTGGAGCATTTCCTGTTTGGGAGTGGTTCTCCTACTAGTTTGGCCAGTTTGTTTGATGATGGTACTTTTGAATGGCCAAAAAAGGGGAAGAATCCTATGGAGATGCACAAGGGCCAAAGTCTTATGGACAGTACAGGAAGAAAGGAATGGAAGAGTATTCAATGAAAAGAAATTAGTATATAAACCCATAAGTATTATAGTTTAATTATGTATATTACTATATTTTACTTATTATATTTTCAAATAATACCCCTTCCACCATATCTGGTTGTATTGGTATTTTGAATCTTGATTGAACCCTAACAAATAAGAAAATAATAAAAAGAAATTAGTATATAAACCCACAAATATTTTAGGCATTGCCTTGACGGTGCTAATGACTAAACCAACATGGGAAAACTTGACATAGAGAATCTATTACTGTGGGTGGAACAAACAGCCAGGACTAGTCAACTTGTTGTCAAATTTTTGATGATAAAAATTTTACTGAAAGAAAAAAGAGAACATACTCTGGTGATAAGCAATCACTTAGAAAACTGAAGTAAGAAAAAAGCCTTCTACCACATCCCAACAGCACATTAACTGAAACAATACCACTAATAAATTCCCAACAAAAATCACTGCACTCTTCCCCCTAAGCAACAGCAGACCACACTACAGACCAATAAACCACTCCAGAGCAATAACTACTCTAACAACCCAATTAACCGAATACAACCTCCAACCCAATGAGCAATGCACCCCTGCAAGTCTCTACCCGAAAGATTTAAAAATTCATCAACTCTCCCCTCATTATCCGAACAAGATCTCCCCCAGTTTAAAAGTTTAAATCTTGAATATGAAGATCTGATACTTCTTTCTCTTCCAACTCTAATAGCATCTTTCTAGCTAATTCTTCACCTCCTAGCCATTGTCCAATGTTGGTCCTTGCTATCCGGCGTCTTGGGAAGGTGGACCGATACCCACCAAGACCTTCATATTCAAGCTTGTCAGCTTGAGAATTTACTTTTATATGATAATGCCAATACCTTTTAATCTGTGGGTCTTTTTTTTAATAAATTTAATGTGTGGGTTTTTTCAGAGCATTGAAGTTTTTTATTTATATATGTATCTTTCAGGACCTGATAAGTACGTTTCATGTACCTCAAGATGTGTGGGACCTCCGGTTATTTAAGCATGTGCCATCAGTGTAACCATTTTGCCTTTCGATTCTGTATCATCTTTTACTTTTAAACTAGATGGTTGTTTTTGTTGTGTATTTGTCCTCCACTCTTTTAGGTTTCTATTATTTTGCAGGCTTAAATGTCGTTTTTAGTTTTCTTGGGTATTTATTTGTCATCATATATTCTTTTATTGGTGCTTTTTAACATTTTTCTAGTTTTCTTTGCTTATTTTTGGTATTATCAATGCTGTATCTGAAATATCATCATGAAACATGGGCTCTTGATGGAAACTTATTTGATGAATATGAGTAATCACCATGACTTCAAGAATCAGCATGTATTGATGTAATTCCACAGAGAGCCTTCAGTTTCAGATTGGTCCTTGTTGCCATTTTATGCTTTTGTTGTACTTAAGATACTGGAAATGCTGTTCCCTTTATTTTTATTTTTCTTTCTATAAAGCCCTATCTAATATGACGAAGAGTGAAATCTGAGGTGTCCAACAAAAATGCCTTTGGATGCTTTTTTTTTTTTTAATTTTCCAAAGGGATAGTTGATGTGTGGTGTTTTTTCGCTTACTCAGTGTTCATGAAATTGGTGATTCAGCTATTGAGCAGCCTCTTTGTAGGTTTGGATAGGATCTTATACCAGTTAATCTAGTGATAGGCCTCATCTTGGACCTTTTTCTCTTTGGGTTCTGATGTAAGACTTATTGTTCTAATGCCAATTAATAGGACTACTATGATTTTAGGACTGAAGGTAAGTATTAATAGGATTACAGAGGTTTTGAATCAAATCACTGAGAACTGCATATTCTCTTTGGGATCATGAAAAATAGAAAATTGAAAAACTAACTGTAATAAAACTTTGTGAAGATTTTTAGGATGGTGGGTTGTTTGTAGCGGTTTAATTTCACGGCATTCTAAGCAGGTTTCCCATGAACAAAAGGCACCTTAATGATAGAAACTGCCAATATTCCGAGAACTAGGGGTTCAAATGGAGTTTTGGGATGAATTAATGGTAATAGAAACTTATGAGGGTCAACATGATATGGTGGCATTTGAAGGTGGTTTGGGCACCAAAGGACAAAAATTGCTGAAATGGGAAAGCTATGGGTTTTGGCATAAACTGAAGAATAACAAACTTATATTAATTTCAGTCCTTTAGGGGTGTTAATTGAAATTGCTTGATGAAGAATTTGTGGGTTGTTCATGGCTATAATAGTTACTTGCAAAGTAAGAATTTCAGTCACGTTAACTGCTGTTTTATTCATAAAAAAAGTAAGAGTGTAGAGAGACGAGGTTATGCTGAACAGAATTAAAGGAAAGCTTTGTTCATAGTTGGCTGTTCCTAAGGATCTGAGGGGGTTGGGCTATAACAGATTTTTTGACAGAGATGTCTTAATTTCTTGCTAACAAGTTGTATAATCCAATACACAGGAGGTATACATGGCCTATCATTGTATTGCATTTTATCTATATCATTAATACAAAACCTTACTTCAGGAAAAAAGTAGCATGCCATACATTCACACTCTTTTCTGTTTTATATGGTAATTAAATCTATTGATATTGAATTGGTCCCAGGTTGAATCACATTGAGATTTTCTGCTCCACGAAAAAATCCTAGAGTTGATAATGCTCTTTTCACTGGTTGTCTTGTTATCTAATATAAATTTTTGTGTGTTTTTTTCAGGTCTGCTCTATACTTCATTGCATGCTATTTTTCAAGAAAAGGTTCTCAGGTGTGTAGTTCACTTATCAGTGAGTCTCGTTTTCAACATTATCACCATCATCATCACCTAGAATATTCTTCATTGGAAAACTAAGGAAATATAAAATGTTGTTGATGCTAAATGGTTAGTGGGGATGACTTGGAGGGGAGTTTGTTGGGATTTTATGATTTTTTTTAGGTGCTGGGCTCAAGCAAGGCTGATGTATACTTTGTATGTGGCTCTTGAACCTGGAGTCTACCAAATGGGGTTATAGAGATCTGTTCAAAAAAGTGAAACGGCTAACTAGCAATATGAGAGTTAGTGTTCAGTGGGTGGGCAGATCGGCAAATGCTGTAGCTGATTCATTAGTCAAACAAGGGGCTTCTTGGGACTGTCTTTATTGGGCTACTCTGTGACTTGTTCTAATTGACTTTGTAAAACTGTATTTATTTTCTTAGGAATGTCTAGGTCATGCAGTGATTAATTGGTGCTTAGTACCATAAATAATAATTTTGAAACAGCAATAAAATTCTAAGAAACAGTTATTAAGGCACCGATTACTTGAATAAATAAAAAAAACTAAAAGAGTACGAATATTCTATAACCCAAAAATTCTGACAATGGTAGAGGAATTGGAGAATTGGTTTGTTTCCCCACGAATTCTTTCCATGCTTCTGAATTTGCATTAGGACCAAAGAAGAGGAACAAAACAGTTCTAATTGGAATACTTTCTTTCTCCCCTCTAAAGTCATTAGAAATTCATACTCTGTAATATTTGAGATTGTAGCTTTGAGTCCTTTGACAAATGAAATGTTATTATATCTATCTACATATATATGCAATTATGTATTCCATTTGGAAATCTTGAGTTTGTCTAGCATCTTTTATTTTGTCGTCATTTTCAGTATATCTAACCTCATTGTCCTCATTTTAACTTATTTAACTATTCCATTGTCTCAATGTTCTGAAGAAACTTCAGATTGCTTTTGCAGTCTTATTTGTTGTTTCCAATGTGGTGGTGATTGTAGGGTGACATTCGGGATGCTTTACATCTTAGACGAAATCTACTAAGAGCAGTTTTGAGTATATTAAACGGGAAGGTTTGGTTTTTCTTGTTGTTTTAACCTTTTATTTTCATCCTAGCATGAGCAATAATAAGCCACTGAAGTTTGTGGAAGTGGAATTCAGTTGTCAACATATTTGAATTGCATATTTCATGTTCGTAATGCAGTAAAGCATGCATATTCATTCTTTCTTGTAATTTTCAACTTTTTTGAGTTAATGTTGTCATGAATTACTTTTGATGTTTCAGGTAGATAATGAATACTACGTATTTCTCCTAGGCTTTTTCTCTGAGATGAAGCGATTTCTATATTCCTGGACCATACTGGTTTCTTATGAGTTGGCATTTGTATTGTTTGGTAAATCGATTTTATTTTGTCCCCTTGGTGGCATTTCTTCATTGTGATGGGATTAATTGAATTGGTGTAGCCAAAATTAGTTGTAGGTTGCCAATTGGACATTGTTGTTTCTATCATTGGGGCTTAGAAAAGCTTATGATTGGGTGTTCCTTGACAAAGAGTTCGTTTCTGGAAAGGGTCACTCACATGCAGGACTGCAGTTAAATGTAGGCTATAAGGAGAACAATTCATGGGGAGACATAAACTGAAATCTCTTCTATGAAGAACGCCAAAAAATGACCACAGTATCAGCTAAGTTACAATTAATAAATAAATGACCGACTCCTCCTGATCATAGCACATAAAAAAATAAGCTTGTTATCCTAAAGTCTAACGTCCTTGCTTTTGAGGTGATAAATTGTGAGAACTGTACAGCTAGACCAGGCACCCTAGTTTCAAGAAAAACATTGAGAATTGGTGGATGATTGTAATGTTGTGGGATAGGAGGGTTTCAATGCATGCAAAATCCAAGATGGATTAAAGGGAAATTGAAGGTATAGAATAATCAGATCTTTGGGAGGGTTGAGGAAAAGAAGGTAGAGGTGTTGGGTCAAATTGAAGCTCTAGACAAAATGGAGAGGAAAAGGGAGCGGTCTAAGTGAATATGAAAGGCAACAAAGACTGGGGTTGAAGGCTGAACTGGAAATGACCTTGAGAAAGGAAGAGATCTGCTTGCGACAAAAAATCTAGGTCTAAGTGGTTAAAGGAGGGGGATGGTAATTGATGAGTCCAAAAAAAAAAAAAAAGAAAAAAGAAAAAAGAAAAAAGAAAAAAGAAAAAAGAAAAAAGAAAAAAGAAAAAAGAAAAAAGAAGAAAAAAATGTGTATGTATCCTGTTTTGCATTTTTTTTTTTGTAGTAGGATCCTAAATTGTTGTTTTTGAGTAGCTTTGTTGACAGTTTGGGTCCAGTGGTATTTTCATCATTTTATAATTCAGATTCTGGTTAGGGGCAGTTGGGTGCACATCTGTTGGGTTTTGGTCTCTTGGGTCTTTTTGTAACAAAACTTATCTTTTGGGGGTTTGTTTGAATTTAGCTTTGTTCTTAAGGAGTTGTTTGTGAATAGGAAGCATTTTAGGGGCTCATTTGTAAATATTTCAATTGGCTTGTCCAGCAAGCCATTGAGTCTTACAAAAGAGAAGGGGGCTGTTTCAATAGAGGTCGTTTTTGGTTCTTTCTCTCTTGTTTGAGTTGTATCTCAGCCCAAACTAGGATTTTCGAATATTGGGAGCTTGGGTTTTGAGGAGTCAACCCATTTTGGCACCTTCCAATCCCTCTATCGCTACGTGTTTGTGCGGGAGGCCAACTTGATGCCATTGTTACTGTAGCGGCAGAACTGTTCTAGGAGTTCTCTACTTCGGGTTCAGGTCTGAAATTATACCTCAAAAAGGGAGACAGGTAACTTTAATCAAGTCCACCTTCTCCAACCTCCCAATTTACTTTTTGTTAGTGTCGAAAGCCCCAACAAGGTTGTGCAAGAAATTGAGAAGATAATGAGAGATTTCCTTTGGGATTCAGGGGGTAGTAATCATAATAATCACCTTTTGAAGTAGAAAGTGGATAAGTGAAGAAAGGGAGGAGGTTTGGGATAGGGAGGTTAATTGAGAGGAATAAGGCTTTGTTAGGTAAATGGCTGTGTAGATTCCCAAAAGAGATTGAGACATCGTGGCATATGGTTATTAAGGCATCTATTGGTTGCACCCAAAAGGCCAAATGGATGGACACAAGATCAGCAAAGGGTGCTAAATCTAGAAGCTCATAGAATGATTTTGACCTTCCCAATTTTTTGCAACACATTAGATATGATGCCATATCAAGACAAAGGATGAAGTTTTGGGAGTATACTTGGTGGGGTGATAAACCTTTGTGTCAATCTTTTCCTAGAATTTATATCCTTTCCAAGTTAAAAAAATAAACCAATTACTGAAATGGCAACCCGGTAAGAAATGGGCTGATTTTGGATTTTGGGTTAAGAACTTTGAGAGACCATGAAGCCTATGAGTTAATCCCAATGCTTGAGTTACTCCAAGATGTCCATCTTCTCTCTTCAGGTAATGGTGAGAGGATATGGGCTTACAATTTTAAGGGCACCTATTCTTGTGTGTCCTTTTTGAAAACATTTTTCCCTCACTTGAGGTTCACTCTTTTCTTGCTAGAGAGTTGTGGTTTAACCCTGGAAGGAAATGGGCTGATTTGGAATTTTTTGGGGTTAAGAAGAACTTTGAGAGAGCATGAAGCTTGTGAGTTAATCCCGCTGCTTGAGTTATTCCAAGATGTCCACCTTCTCCCTTCAGGTAATGGCGAGAGGATATGGGTTCAAAATGTCAAGGGCACCTATTCTTGTGCGTCCTTTTTCTAAAACCTTTTCCCCCCACTCGAGGCTCACTCCTTTCTTGTGGTTTAGCCCAATTCCCTGCCCAAAAGTCAAGATTTTTTGTTTGGAAGCTGCTAATCAAATCATTAACACTTTTGAGAGACTTCAAAGGAAGTGGAAAATCTGGTACCTTTCACCTCAATGTGTTCTACGCTTGAAGAATGGGGATTTCACCAACCACTTGTTGTTGCATTGTCCCTTTGGGTCTCGGTTGTGGCAATGCTGTCTCTCTTTGGTGGGAAGAAAGTAGGTGACGCCAAATACAGTGGTGTACTTGTTCAAGACAGATTTTATGAATTTTCTACTCAGAGACAAAATTCTATGGCAATTTGTGAGGGGAGTTTTTCTTTGGGTGCTGTGGTGTGAAAGGAATGCAAGAATTTTTGAAGAGAAATATAAGAAAGTTAAGAGGTGATATAACTACAATGATAAAGGGTGGCACATTAGGCTTTAGTGGCTAATGATTTTAAAGGTGTCTCTCAGTGATTTGCTTAGGGAGGGGCAAACAGTGGCTGGATTTCAAAGAAGCAGACAGCAAAGGGTGCTGGATTGGAGTCCTGTGGTGGGTTTGATTAAGTTTAAGTTTGATGAGTGCTGCCTTGGAAGCCCAGGGCCATCTGGCGTGTGTGTGTGTGTGGGGGGGGGTGTTGTAAGAGATCGGTGGGGCACTATTGTCCTCAATTTTTCAGGTCCGGTGGGCCTGGATAAATCACTAAGAGCAAAATTGTTGGCTTTAATTCAAGGTTTGAAATTGTTGCAGCAGCAGGGGTTGAGGGATGCGATAGTAGAGGGGGACTGTCAAACTGTTATTTGCTGGATGAAGGCACAGGATCAATCACTGTGGGAGTTCAAGCAGATGGTGAAGTTGGCTGTTGCCTTAGAGGTGTCATTTTGAACACCTCATTCAAATGGGTTCCTAGAAGTGCAAACATGCTGGCAGACTACTTGGCAAGAGTTGGAGTGGGGAAATAAAATTTAGAATGGGGCAAGGTTCAAAATATTGATATGTATTGGCCCGTATCAGGAGCTTCCTGATACGCCCCTACAGAGGGTGTATCGGGGTTTTGACCGGTTCAGGGGGTGGACGGACCTTAAACTGGCCCCTCTGAACCGGATTTGAGAAAAAAACTAAACAAACTAACGATACTGTGTATCGATATTTTGAACCTTGGAATGGGGCTGCTCTGGGCCAGGCTGTAATCTGTAATCTGTAATCTGTAAAGCATTGGCTTGTGATGTTTTGTTTGTTTTTTCTAGCTGTCTTTTACAGTGTACTTTGTAGGCCTTCTGTTCATTGTGCCACCAGTTTGGTGTTTTGATTAATGAAATTATTTCTGTTATTTATCAAAAAAAAAAAACAAAAATAGCTAAACTAGCCAAACATGGTATGGGGTTCCTCCAAAGACTTCTAACTGCTGATACAGTCACTTCATTTCTGGAGACAGCCTCATAAAACTTCATTGAGAAGACATCATCTAAAAATACCAACCATCATCTCACATCGAAGTTTGATGGGTGAATTGGATATTTGGATTAGCTTTGAGCCTGTTAAAATGAGAAACACATTCTTCAACTCTCTCCTAAGTTTAGTCTACAGAAAATTGATTACCATGTTACTTTGTGTCATTACTGTTGGAAAATACTAAAATAGGTTTATTTCATGTCAGCAGATGTGTTTGCAATTGTTTCTGTTTGCCTTTGGAGTTATTTCTTTTGTTTATTTTATTTTTCTTTTCAGATATTTGTATATGTATTGAATTCTTTGAGTTGCCTCAATGGTTTTTGCGGGGTTGTGTAGTATATATAAATGGGATGTTTTGTCATATAGGAATCTTATGATTTGAATGAGTGTCTGGTCAAGCTGTTACCTGCAGCTGCCTTTGCTCTTTGTGTGGGTTGTGCTCCCATTCTTTGTACCAATGATGGTTCATGCTCTTATTTGGATGTATCTGAAGCTGCAGAGGAATGGTTAAAGGTATGACGGGTAGGATGTATAACATCTAATGTTCTGTTTCATGAACTATTGCTGACTTGCTATGTCATAACTGTCATTGCAGATAGAGGAGCATGAGCAAGAACCTATGAAGCAGTTTGAATGTTCTGTGGAATTCTTAGCTGAAATTAACCTGGGTACTTGTGCTCAGGTGCTGGTTTTTTGTTTTCATAGTTTCTCTTTGTTAGTGAGGATTGCATTTGAATTTTAATATCTGGTTCTCTTTTTCAGGTTTCTGAATCCCAATTCCATCATGGTGTACGCCTTCCAAGACAGATAAAGGAACCACTTGTCCATGAATTGGATGACTGCTTCCTTGTTGATATAATGGATAAGAGGATGGAAAAGATGCTTCTATCAGATCTCTTCTTTTTTTGCACCCTCTTATCTAATTGCATTTACTGTTCAATTATCACGAGGTAAGTAGCTTCTTGCTCACTTCGGGCCATGATTTTTTAGGTTCCAAATGTTGTAAGCTTCTGGCAGAGTTTGATGCATTATTTGCACCATTTGAGTTAGGGGAAAATCTATGATGCTGGAAAGACATGGTATCAGAAAAGTTTTGACCTATCAACACCCACCCAGAAAGACAATAATGTTCATCATTAGGTGCTCCTTAAATATATCAATTACAACGACTAAAGTGCCCCTTGGGCAGATCCAACCAACTTAACAACTTTATTATGTCTTCATGCCTGTGGTAAAGTTGACCCATCTAATGTACTTTTTTTTTTTTAAAGATAAACCCATCTAATGTATTTTTTGGGCAACATTTGTAGATTTCCTTTTTTTTTTTTAAAACCCAAGCTTCACTACTGTACAACTTCTGAGATACAATAAACTGGCTCATAAGAAAAAGATATACACAAAGAAGTCTTGAATCTAATGAGAAAAATCAAAAGGAAAAGAGAGACAAAGACATTATCCATTTCTGAGATACAATAAATCAAAAGGAAAAAAGAAATTGAGTTTAAAATTTCTTTTTTATTTATCTTCAAAAAAATACAATAAACCAATACAGTCCTCATGGAGGGAATTTAACAATATAACATGATTATTAAACTGAATTTTGGACTTATTCTCTTATGGCATCCTTAAATTATGTCATTTTTCTGCTTCTCATGTTTCATTTTCCTGCAGGTTGGGAGAGGAAAAATCATCCTTGCTCCACAAAATGGCTGATTATTTGCTGTCATTGCTTGATTGTGCTATTTCTGTTATCCAGGAAAAGTACAATGATATTCAGTTTCATGGTTTCTTAGGCTCTGGCCCTAATCTTGATGGGACTGGCTGTATTCTGGCTTCACTTCGAAGCTTTATTTCCTCTCCTCTTTTCAGCATTTGGAAAGATCAAAATTTTCTTGATGATGTGCTGCTCAAATCTATTACACTAGCCATTGAGAGGCTTTTAAGGGCTTTGGCTAAACAATTTGAGGAATATTCTGCGTTTGCAAGAAAATTTCAGTCCGAGGTGCTCTTGCCAGAATCTTCATCTTCTATCAATTGCCAAGTGTCATTGGATGACAGCAAAACTAGGATTGTTGATATGGAGCTGGATGTGAATGAAGATCCCAAAGATAAGGATATTTTAGCTGTTAGCCCGAACGATTCTTCTGGCATATCTTCTTTTTCTTTTTCTTTTTCTATGAAGTGGAAGTTGGGCATGGTTTCAGGAATTTCAAATTTTTTCTCTATTTTACCTGTTGTTACATGGACAGTCATGTTTGGTCTAATGGAAAATGAAAGTGATCCAAAGGTATATTTCATACTTGTTCTATTTCAATTGACAAATTCCTTCCACCAGATTTTCTGAGTGTTGCAAATTGAATTATGTTTTGATTGTGCCTTTTCTTTTGATCAGATCTGTGAAATTATTCTTCTGAGTCTCTGTGAACATTTTTCGTCATCCTCTTTTGCATATCTGTCAGACTTGGTAATTCGATCTTCTGGACATTGGTTTGATGGAATTTCTGTTTATATTTGTGATCTGAATTTTGATTAGATAGAAATTAGAGGTTTCTATTTGATCAGAGTGGGGTCTCCATGGAGAATTCAATTTTATTTACTCTGTTTCTTTTCTTGTAGGTTGCTTCAATGAATAATATGATTGAGATGAGAGTGGCACTTAAACTCAGTTGTTTTAACATTTTATCTGCTGCTCAATGTTTGCTGGGAAGGTTAGTTTCTTTGGGCTCTGGTGGAGAGGATAAACGTGTCTATCAATCTGTTCCAGGAAAGGCATCTGAACAGGTACAGTCTTGAAAAAGAAACTGGTACCATGTGTTTCTGTCTGTCAGGTTTAGGACTTAAGTGTGGAGTAAAAAATTAGTGTCATTACCTTGTTGGAACTTGTGATTATTTGATTCTTTTTAAACTTTTGATTTTGGTTAAACTTATGGATCTGTTTTCCATGAGCGCTTTTGTTTTTGTATTTATTCATTGGGGTTGAGTTTGGTTCTGATAGATTAAGGTAAACAAGAATAGAAGAAGGGTGATGAAGATCAGATGAAGAAGTGAGTAGAGGAAGAATAAGAGTGAAAAGTTGTTCATTGAATTTGGACCAACTGTGCAATTTACAATTACAATACACTATAGTGCCCTTAGTAAAGTTTGCATGCCAAATGCAACAAAAATGTTGGGATATTCATATTGTAATTGTTGTGTATTCCTTTGTTTATTGGAATTATAAAATATTTGATTCATGCCAACTTTAATCTCATGAACTTATGATAACAAAGTAGATGACGTGGATGGGGAATTACATACTTGACTATCAACTTTCATTTTGTGCGTATTGGGTAGTCACCTATATCCACCTATCATCACTAGCATCTACCTTGCTGACCTTTTCACCATCTCTCATTGTGGTCTTTTTTTTTTTATATTAAGCAAAAAATTTCAGTAAAAGAAAAAGAAAATACAAGAAACTCCCATTGGTCTTTCCAGCATGGTCTTCTATGTATCATATGATGATACCTACTTGAGATCAAGATTGTTGAATGAGGTTCCAGAAATTCTAATTTCATTAAAAGAAAATGGGAATACAAGAGACTCCCATTGGCCTTTTCAGCGTGGTCTTCTATTGTATCATATAATGTTACCTACTTGAGATTAAGATTGTTGAACAAAATTCCAGAAATACTCCTGTAATCATCACTTGTTTGGTTCTTCATTTGCTCATGCCACCATCCACTTTGTTCTGTTCATCTGATCACTGGTACATGTGTCTCCAAACTCATATTGAATATTTCTCCTCACACAACATAACCACATAATGGATCTTGGTTATTTGGAGTTGGAAGTAGTTTCTGCTTTAAACCTTGTGAATAGCACTTTGGGTTTATCCATTCCTAATCCTCAGGAGTTCTGCTGGGAGACATCTCTTGGCATTCAAGTCAAATATCCACAGGCTAGATATTTGAGTATGGAGATTAAATGTGCATTATGGTCTGCTGGAGTGAGAAGAATGTCAATATTGAACTAGCATTACTAAGTAAAAATTAGCTTCACTTTTGGGTAGCACTGGACATCATTACCAAGTGTTTGTAATGATGCTTATTTGATCAATTGTAGTTGGAGCTTTCACATTGCTGTTTTATGATGATTCTATATTTCCTGAAGTTTTCTTCTATTTTATTTAGTTTCTGATTTTTTTGTTATTTTCTTTTTCTAGATTAGTAATTTGGAGATCTTTTCTGGGTAATTATGATCTCATGGTGAACTCATTCAACCTGGATGGTTGAACTTCTAAACATTAAGTTGGAACAAAAAGCAATTTGACCTTCGGGTTGGCTTTAAAAGATTTAATATGTAGAAAACTTGCATGTTGTACAAAAGAAAGATCAAGAACTGTACCTAGAAGGGGAATGAAGAGGAGGAAGAGGGATTCTGCGATGGGTTTCAGGAGAGCAGTGTTCATGAGAGGGAGGCAAAGAGTCAGTTGAAGGAGAAGACGAGAGTGAGGTGGATGTTGGGAAAGGGCAATTCTGGAATTTCAGAGAAAGAGTTAGGATCTGATTGTTTCAGTTAGGGACATGTGGCGAGGTAGGAGGGTAAAAGAAAGGAGGAGCTTGAGTCACATGTGGAAGTAGGGACAGATGGAGGGACACAGGTGGCGGGAGGATTTAATTTTGATTTTCAGCAGGTGGGGCCTATAGGATGAGGGGAAGTGGAAGGAGTGTTGAGCTGGCAAAGTTTGGGGTGAAGAAAGGAAGGGGTGTTATTGGTAAAAGGCAATTTGGGAAGGGTCTTTCGAAAAACTCTCAAGAAGTAGGGATCAAAGAGAAGAATGGGTATGGGTGATTTCTAAATACGCAAAAGGCAAAAGGACTTTGGAGTTTCAGTGAAGAAGAGGTAGCAGGGACGTTGTAAGAACCTCAAGGAGTTTTGTTGCCCAAAAAGGAGGGAGATCGGCCGGAGTCTACTGTGCAAATGTTGAAGGTTGGGGAGAAAGAGAGGCTAGGGGTGGAAAATTGATCGGCCAGAGTCTACTGATATCCTGTTCATTTGCTGCAGATATTTGGGATTTGGGAATGGTTCCTTTTCTTTGTTTGGGTGCAAGTGGATTCTATCAATGGAAGTCAACATGCTTTTTGATCCTTTTACTTTTACTTGGCTTGAAAATATGGGAAGAATAATGTGGAGATGTGTGAGAGCAGCCATGGCTTGGACTATATGGGAAGAAAGGAATGCAAGAATCTTCTTAGTGAAGGAGAGGAGTAAAGAAGACGTGAGGGATAGTGTGATGGCCATGGTGATTCATTGGCTCAAGACTCTGGATTTGTTCTCTTGGTTTTCCTTTGATGATGTATGGAGAAATTGGAACTGCATGCTGTTCTACAAGTTGTACAGATTGCTAAAGAATTGAATATAGTAAGTGTGGTGATTGAAGGGGATTCAAAATTGGTGGTGCGGTGGCTTAATGTTCCAAAGTCCATAATTTGGTGTTATAGGAGTGGGATGAAAATTTTTAAATGGCTAATTAGAAATATGAATATGTGGATACAATGGGTGAGGAGATCAGCAAATAGGATGGCAGATACATTAGTCATGCAAGGGGTGAATAGAAATCAATTGTTTTGGGCTCAAGTGTAATTTGTTTCTCTTTTCTTGTGGAGAGGTAGCATCTTGTGCCTCTCAAAGGGGTGCTTGTAATGATTGTAATATTTTAAGTTATTATCTAATAAAACTTGAAGTTACTTATCAAAAAGAAAAAAATCTTCATATGACCTGCATCTTTATACTGACCAAGGAGCAAAGTCGAGTCCAGAATGATAGGTGGAATATGTCTACATATTTGTTGGAAGTGACTTGTCTTTTTTTGAAAAATTATTCTATTCTCTCCTTCCAAACCTCTAAAAATACAGTGAAAGGTGTAATGTTCTGGGGAATTGCACCCTTTGAACCTCTTAACCTCCTTTTGTAATCTCTGTTTTTCTTTGTATAATACTTTCATTATTATTAACAAAAAAACAAATAATGCATCTAGTAACATTTTATATATCACCAAGTTGATGAGTTTTGGTGGTTGATGTGTAGTATTTCAGATTTTATTCAGGAGTATGTTCTGTGGATGAGGGTTGTAGTAAGTTATATTAAACATATTACAGTCTGAACCTCGTTTGAGAATTATTGCTGTGCTGCTTGGGAGTTTGCTTTGTACCTTGTCTTTTGAGTTTGTTTTCCTTTGCCAATTTAAATGATCAATATTTTCCTTTGGTTATGCTGTGCATTTTTACATTTATATTAGATTAAATAAGTTAATTCTAATGGTCACAAGGAGAAAAACTGATTTGGGTGCTTGTTGGATTATCATATATGAACAACTGTTGACGTTCTTCTACTGATCATTTGTTAGTAAGATTATAAAGTACAAAGGAAGGGAATATAAATGTTAGAATAGTGATAATTCAGACATTACTGAATGCTCCTACATAACTTATTATGGTTTAGGTCATATTTCTATATGCAGAAGCTTCGGCTTATACATTTTATTTCTTGATGGCTTTCTGCCTGTTGTTACTTTTCAGAGCTTGATATTTCTCGGCGATTTGGTAGAAAAAGTTGCTAACTTTGATCATCTTGATTGGTTTGGACGTGTTAAGTTGATAGACTGCATATGCAATTTTATCATACTTCATCCTGATGCTGGCCAGGTGATTTTCTACAGTGACTGATCAAAATATCCCTCTTCTTTCCCTGTGCTGCTCATGTAGGCCATCTGTACTTAAAAAAATAGTTGGTGGTTCTTTATCAGTTCTTCAGTTCTTGGTTTATTTTTCTGTGAGAAGTTACTCTCTGAATCATATTCTTGCATTGCATGACCATGATTTGGGAATTAGGGGCTGCTTGAAGATGTGATTCAGACCAATAAAAAATAGTAAAAATATTTCAGATTATAGCAGAAGAGGAAGAGAAGAAGAAGAACTGAAGAAGACAGCAAGAAGAAGAAGGAAGAATGGAGAAAGAAGGAGTTCGATAATCTCCTCTTCCTCCACTCTAATCTTTTATTAATCTTACTAAGATTACATAAATTACAAGTCTGCCCTTAAGTGGGCGTCCGCCTCATCAGCATAGTTAGAAAACATAAAAAGAATTAAAGGCCCCTAAAGAAAAGGCCGATTAAGAACAAGCAACAAGAAAAAACTAATCAATAAGATAAATGGGCCAGGGCCCATTCGACCCAGCCTCTCGACACTCCCCCTCAAGCTGAGCATAGATATCAATCATGCCCAACTTGCTTATATAGTGAACCACCTTTTGTCAAAACAACAACCAACTATTCTTCAGAAGCAATAAATGGTAGACAGACTTCTCCTGAAGCAACTCTCTCTCGTATAAAGTGCCTGTCAACTTCTATGTGCTTAGTTCTGTCATGCTGAATAGGATTATGTGCAATGTTGATAGCGGCCTGGTTGTCACAATATAACATCATTGGCTTCTTACAGTCTATACCCAATTCTTCTAAAAGTGATCTCAACCATAAAAGTTATAAAACTCCATGTGCCATTGCCCTGTACTTTGCAACAGCCGAGGATCTAGCCACTACAAATTGCTTCTTACTCCTCCATGATACACAATGTTCCCTGCCACCATAGCATAGTAACTTGAAGTTGACCTTCTATCATCAATACATCCAGCCCAGTCAGCATCAGTGTATGCTTCTAGCTTCATGTGTCCATGCTTAGCAAACAAGATACCTTTCCCTAGAGTCTCTTTTAGATAGCATATAACCCTCTTAGCAGCTGCTAAATGTGTATCTTTGGGAGAACACATGAACTAACTAATTACACTAATTGCATAGGAAATATCTGGTCGAGTCATGCAAATATATAATAACTTCCCAACCAGTCTTTGGAACACTTCCCTATCAGTCAATAGTTCACCATCAGTAGCTGACAACTTATGATTTAGGTCTATAGAGTGAAAGCTGGTCAAACACCTAGTTTGCCAGTCTCTGCAAAAGTTCAAGAACATACTTATGTTGAGAAATGAAGATACCATCCTTAGATCTGACAACTTCAATTCCCAAGAAATATCTGAGTCCACCCAAGTCTTTAATCTCAAACTTAGTGTAAAAAATCTTTTGAGATGAGTAACTTCCTGAGTATCATTACCAGTAACCACAATATCATCAACATAGACAATCAGAAGGGTCACCAAGGAATTTCCCCTCTTAACAAATAGGGTATGATTTGATTGAGTCTGTGTGTACTCAAAAGTAACAAGGGCAGCCCAAAATCTGTCAAACCAGGCTCTATGAGATTGCTTAAAGCCATAAAGGGACTTCTTTAGTTTACAAACCTTCCTTTGCATCTCCTTCCCATACACCCCTGGAGGTAAAGACGTATAAACCTCTTCATGTAGGTCCCCATTCAAGAAAGCATTTTTAACATTGAATTGATGAAGTGGCCAATCAAAAGTAGCAGCTAAAGATAGCAAAATGCGAATTGAAGTCATTTTGGCCACTAGGGCAAAAGTCTCTAGGTAATCAATACCATACATCTGAGTGTATCCTTTAGCAACCAAACGGGCCTTAAATCTTTCAATAGTACCATCTGAATGATACTTGTGAGCACCCTCTTACAGCCAACTTGTTCCTTTCTCTCAAGCAAATCCACAATTTCCCAGGTATTGTTCTTATGCAAAGCATCTAATTTAGTCATCATAGCATCCCTCCTTTCTGGGACAGATCTGGGAGTCACATGTGTGGAAACAGAGGCAAGAAAGGAATAGTAGGAAAGGGGAAAGAAGGCTGTAGGACAGGTGTTTGAAATGCAATGAACTATACATTTCCATTTGCCTTTGCGAAGATCAATAGGGAGATCAAGGTCAGGGAAGGTATCAGAAGTGGTAGAAGAGGGCTGACCTGTTACCTCAGTAGTGATGGGAGGTGCAGGAGGCTCATCTGAAGGTGTGGAAACAACTTGCACATCCTTGAGTCTTTGTCTCTGGTACCACCTTTGGACAATAGGATGGGTAGAAAATGTGGGAGGATGAGCAGGAGGAGGGGGAGCAGGAACATGAGAAGAAGACCCAATAGAAGGCTCGACGAGAGGAGACTCAATGGGGATTAGAAGAGGGACAAATGGTGACACTGGAAACAACTTCTCTGAATGCTCCCCCTCAGGAGAAGTACCAAAGAAAGGAACAGACTCAACAAATGTGACATTTTTGGAAACAAAGCGAATGCTACAAACCAGATCAAAACAACAATACCCCTTTTGTGTGGAGGCATATCCCAAGACGACACACTTGTGTGCTTTAGGCTCAAACTTATGTCTCTGATGACTATGAACATGAATATAATAAGTGCACCCAAACACCCAGAGAGGAAGAGCGAAGAGATCTTCATTTGGAAATAGGAGGCTAAAGGGGGTTTTAAAACCTAGAACTCAGGAAGGCATCCGGTTTATCAAGTATGTAGTTGTAAGGACAACATCCCCCCAAAACTTAACAGGAACATGAGAAGCAAAAAGGAGGCTCCTAGCAACCTCAACCACATGTCAGTTTTTCCTTTCTGCCACACCATTTTGTTGTGGAGTGTAGAAACAAGAACTCTGATGAATATCTCCAAAGGTATCAAAGTAGGAGGAAAGGTTCTTCTCAAAATATTCCTTTGCATTATCAGATCAGAATATTTTGATTCGAGTATTAAACTGGGTAAGATTAAGTTCATGAAATTTTTGTACAATATTTGACACTTCATCTCAGGATCTTATAAGGTAAATCCAAGTATAACGAGAGAAATCATCAATGAAAAGGATGGAATACTTGTAATGAGAAAAATCATCAGATAAATGATATGGCCCCCACACATCAGAGTGCACAATATGGAAATGAGAAATTGATCTTTTATTAATCACTGATCTTTTATTAAGTCTTGTAAGAAACTCAAACACCTTGTTTCTTTCCACAAATTTCCTAAATGTCTCTACATCCTTGGTGCTTTCCCATACAACTGCTTCCATAACATCAATCTCTTGCTATAGTGACTTCAATATTAAGTAGTAGACAACTACACTCCTCTCCCCCTATTTTAGATTTTTCACATTATTCTTCAGTTTGTAGGCCCTTGCAACATTCAATTTCCGAGAATATGTTTTTGTAACACTATCCCATATCTCCTTGGCTGAAGTCATCCAAAGATAATGTTGACTTATGTGGGGCTGTATAGAATTTACTAACCATCCAATAACTGTGTAGTTATCCTACATCCATTTCTCATATGTAGGATTTGTCTCTTTCTGTTTCTCCTTACTGCCCATGAGAAACCCTAGTTTACCTCTACTATAGACATGAATCTTTATAGATCGTGCCAGATGTAAATCAGTCCTCTAATATCAAGATTAAATTTAGTGATTAGCAGAATAGAACAGATCTGAATAACTGTATAAGAGAGGAAGATGACGAAGAGAAGAGGTAAGAAGAGAAGAAGTCGAATTAATCACTCTTCTCCTCTAACCCTATTTTTTTATTAATCTCTAAAAAATTGATGATGACAAGTATACCCTTAAGTGGGTGGCCAGTTTGGCAGTTACATAAAGAAAGTAAAATAAGAACAAATAACAGGCCCATTAAGTGAGGCCCATCAACATAAAATAAAAGATAAAATAAAGGATATCACATGAGAGGCTGTTAGGGCCCATTCGGCCCAATCTCCTTACAGTGCCCAAGCTAAATAATTTGTTCTATCAAGTTTGATTGTAGTCACTCCTATCAAAATGGAATCTATGGGACCAACCCCCTGTTTCAGGATTTGCTTCATCTCACTTCCAGATTACTCCATTGATCAAACAAAAATAAAAAACAAGGTTTTCAAGATTTATAGACCTAACTGAGGTTAGTCCAACACTTAAAAATCCCAAAACTAGGGTTTCACTGTACCTGACCTCCAGGGAGAAAGAGAGAAGAAGTAGCCGCTCCAACCAGAGCTTCCCAAACCTCTTCCAACTGCAACCGCCCACTTTTGGAGATCAAAAGGAACCCTCCAAGCTTTGAGCGCCACACCCAAACAGTCTCTTTAACTTGTAACTGGAAACTCTCTAGTCGATTAGGGTTTTGGGCAAACAATCAGCATCTCCGCTTTCTTGGCAATCTACAACTAGATTCTGACTCTCCAAACTCTCTACCAACTAGGCATACAAGTTGCCTATATAATCATCAACTTATCTCTCCATACACCTTTTGATTAGAAGAGTGTATAGGAAAAGAAAAGAAAGATAAAAGAGAAGGAAGACCTACTTTGGTACCAAGATGTGATTCAGACCAATAAAAAATAGTAAAAATATTTCAGATTATTGCAGAAAGGGAAGAGAAGAAGAAGAAGACAGCAAGAAGAAGAAGGAAGAATGGAGAAAGAAGGAGGAGTTCGATAATCTCCTCTTTCTCCACTCTAATCTTTTATTAATTTTACTAAGATTATGTAAATTACAAGTCTACCCTTAAGTGGGCATCCACCTCATCAGCATACTTAGAAAACATAAAAAGAATTAAAGGCCCATAAAGAAAAGGCCCATTAAAAACAAATAACAAGAAAGAACTAATCAATAAGATAGTAATGGGCTAGGGTCCATTCGGCCCAGTCTCTCTACACTTGATACATATACCTTTTTTATGCCTTATTTGAATATATTTTTAATTTTGTTCTTTGATCTTTTTTGTTCCTTGTTCTATGTGTTATTTGGTAACTTGGGCTACTTGTAAACAGGCAATGATTGAGAGGCTTCTTACAATGCTTCAAGATAATGATTATCGGGTTAGGATTTTCTTAGCTAGACAGATTTATGTTCTTTTCCAGATGTGGGATGGCCATGATGAGCTCTTCCATGATATTTGGTGAGAATCAAATATTCCTGCTTCATAATACACAATGCACTTTAATATTACATGGGTGTTTGATTTCATGTGATGGTTTAGCTTTAGGTCTTGTTAACTTTAAATTGTATTGATTCCTAATAATAGTTTCTTTTGTGTTTAATTTCTTCTAGTACCTCTGAAGATATTCATTCCACTTTATCTTCCTGTAATTGGATCCAATATGTCAGTTTTGATGGTGACATTCCACTATTTTTCTATGGGGGATTATAAATTTGTCAAAATGACCATTTCCATTATCTTGATTCTTTGTTTCCTTTAGAAGGATGGAGTGATTGAATATGCTGCCCATAGAATTAGAGTTAGGTTGTGGATCTGTAAGAGCTAATTTGCTCAGAAGGTTGGAGTAGTTTCCATAAGAGTTAGTTTCAAAGCATCAGTTGTCGTAGATCTGATTAAACTTAACTTTTTTCCATTATCCTTTGAATGTTGAAGTGTTGGAAGGAAGATCTCATCTCCCAGGATTGATTGCACAAAATGACACATTTTTTCTTATTTTCTCTTGGTCGTAAGATCAATGTTTATTCATTAGGGTGATCTGATCCTTTCGATGGTGGTGCCGTGGTACAAGTGCTTTCACCATGCCGTTTCATATTGGTCCTCTTTGATTATGATTATGAGTTCTGCAGTTGAGAGTCAGTACTACAACCCATGTAAGAAACATAGTTGTCAAGGCAATGCCTAAGCAATAAGGCGTTCTTGGAGGGTCACCTTGCTTTATCACAAAGATATTTGTTTTACAAGGCGCTCTTGAATACTTTTATATTCTTCACTTTTTGAGATTCTAATAATAAAATAGGCATTTTTTACTAAATTATTCAGATTAAGTTAAAATTACTGGTTTCTTTTTATTATTTTTCTCATTTGTTTGGGTTCAATCATGTATACTGCATGGAAGAGCTCAAAATTTCATCGAATCATGTATACTGCATATGAGTTAGACTCGTACACAATGCATTTTTCTTGTAATTCCCCCCCCCACCGTGCAATCCATTTTCCCTTTTTCCTTCCATTTTGGCTGTTCCATTATTTCTGTTTTTGGAAAATTTTTTCTGTATGAGTCTAACTCCCCCCCCCCCCATTTTTCCAGTTCAAATTTTGGTGTGAGATTGGTATTGTTCTCAAAAGAAAAACTTGTCACAGCTCAAGAAGTCTTAGCTGCTGGTGCACAGCCTCCTTTAAGAGTGGAAACTGTTGTCATTACTCTAGCGCATCTTGCATTTTACAGTGAGAAGATAGAGTTGGAGGTATTGAACTTACTATCTATTGATTCTTTGATTTCAATTCCTAATCATTCTGTAACTTTTGGGTCTGTAATGGGTATTTATGTATTTCATGATATACAAATAAATATCTAAGTTGCTACTGAGATGAGATTTTGTATGGCATTAATGAAATCTATTATTTAATAAATGTCTTTAAGACTATATTGTGCATATTAACTAGATCTTTTCACGAAAAGCTCACTTGTGCAAAATTTTTATTGCTTTGGACCCAGGCTAGCACTCAATAATAACACCTTGCCTCTTCTGAAGAGAGGCACCATAGACATAAATGCATGTGTATTGTGAATGCTCTGCAAATGCACTCAAGTCTCTGTTATTTTGTTTGATCAAGGCTTAACTATAGCCAAACTGATGATCTGGCATCATATAGTAGTAGAAAAGAAGTGCAAGCATGTTTAATTGTTTGATGGGTGTTGAATCATGTTTAATTTTTAACAATTATGAATTGATGGCTCACATGTGATGTTTGGGAAGCCATCCAATTTGACAATTACTCAGCTGTCTTTTGTTTCTCGAATTTTGGTGGTACCATGGGGAGTATGAGCCCTGTTCAACCTGGTCCAACTGTCTCCCTCCCATCTGATTTAATGATTTTTATCAGAATTTTATTCTTTTCCAATGTTTTTCATTTCTTTGTTGCTGACTGATGAAGAAACTTTTTGATTGTGTTTTCCTGGTGATTTCCTATTGTGAACACAGGCTGTTTTCATGATGTGTGTAATTGCTGCCATGGATCCTTGTCAGAGGTAGTCTTTTTCCGTCTTCTGCTTCTATCTTTCTTACTCTCTGCGTGTTTATCTAAGTAACAAATTTTCTTCAGGGAATTGGTTTATACAGTTCTTGATAATCTGTCTAGAAAGCTGCATTACACAGCTAGATCAAAGGTGATGAACACAATTTGCTCTCTATTATTATATTGTTTTCTACTTCATGATAAATAGATTGGTTACATCACTTTGGTTGATGGTTCAACTTAAACTTATTTTTGTTGATTTGTGATTGAAAATGGTATAAATATGGTGTGATATCATATTGTTCAGAGTGCTTTGATTTCTCACTGTATTTAGCATGAGATTTTCTGAAATTTGTGCAGTACCTGGAGGAAATTATGGGATCGATTCTTTTTTATTGGGTTGCTTGCAACGTTAGTTTAATTGGACTGGTTGAGGTAAGGAGTCATTCTCACCTAGTAAGAATAATTCGTCTGACATTCTGACTTGAATGATTTGATTATTTGATGATAAGTTGAATGGTGTGAATACAACTTGACAATATAAGATGCTTTTCATCCTAGTAAGAATAATTCTAGTCTGACATTCGGACTTGAATGATTTGAATATTTTATGATAAGTTGAATGATGTGAATATGACTTGACAATGTAAGAAACTTTTCTTCTTGAAGCCTGTTTTTGATGTGAAATTTATTATATTGGAGGGTGAAGTTTTGCTTTTCTATTTTGGTTATTAACTAGTTTAATTAGTAGAACCCGAAAAAAGATATAAGAAAAAAAGTGAGTGTTCTTCTGTTTCCTCCTTTACATGAGCTCTTTACATGACCATGTGAAAACTTAGTAGGAATAAACAAAACTAATGACAAATTCAATTAGTGCCTTACTTTCTCTTTCCACTTGGTTTCAAAATCTGTCCTGTTGATGTTCTTGCAGTCTTTATGAGTTTAAACTGGGTCCATATTCAAGTAATTGATGTCCTAACTTATGCAGCAATCTTGATTTACTCTGAAAGACTCCTATTCCTTTTCTTTCATATATCTACTGGCAGAAGGGTTTGTTCTCCATAAGATGGTGCTTTGTGCTTCAAACATGGTACAAGCCATGACCATTGGACTTGAGCAACTGTAGCAGGTATTCTCCAATCTACTTAGAAGATAAACAAGAAGAAACTCCACATGCATGAAAGTAAATGTGATATAAGACTTGCAGTAGCTACCGTAGAGGCAAGCTTGTAAATTTGATGCAAACATGGAAGGAAAGAAACCATGTGGTTTTTTCTCAGTTTTGAAGGGAGTTGGGAATGCATATAGCACATTTGCTAAGGGAGTGAGGTTCAAGATTGGGGATGGGGTGCATGTGAATTGGAAGGATGTTTAGTGCAGAGAAAGGCCTCTTTTTGAAACTTTCTCAACTCTATTTGAGTTGGCCATTGATAAAGAAGTTAGAGTAGTGGATTGTATGCATGTGCATGATGTTAACGAGGTGTGGTGCCCTCAGTACTGAAGAAATTTGAATGGCTGAGAGGTGGTTGATATGGTGGAAATATTACATATGCTGTAAAGCACTCAAGTGGGGATTAGGAGATCTGATAGGACTTGGTGGTGGGGAAGTATGAAAGGTCACGGTGAAATAATTTTATAATGCCATGGTTAGATAGGAGGAGCAGTCAGTCCCTGTTAATATCTTTGGTGTAAGAATATTCCTATGAAAGTAGCATTTTTTGTTTGGACTGCTTACTTGAATAGAGTTTGTACATGGAACAATCTTTTGCTGGATTCAGTCGGTTTTTTTCCTTTGTGAAGGGCACTTGAATCAGTGAACCATCTGTTATACTTAAGATTTTCCTATGAAGTTTGGTCTCAAATATGGAACCTGTTTGAAGTGAAAAGCTTCTGCCCAGGATCAGTGGTGGAGTTAATGGAGGGTAGGAGGTTTGATGGAAAAAGGAAAACTGGCCTGGGATATAGTCCCTGCTGCTGTGGTGTTTTGTTTTATATGACAGGAGAGAACTGCAAGAACCTTTAAGAACAGGAACAGCTCTATTGATTCTGTTTTTCAGATGATTTTGGAAGAAAATGTTTTCTTCGTGAGCTAATACAAGCTGTTTAAAAGTATACGCTGTTATTGCTTTTTGTAAATAAGTGTTTAGGGGTGTAGTAGTGAAGGGGAAACTTTTTGTATAGCCCCTGTTGCCCTGTATACAGCATCTTGTTGTACATGATGCTTCTGTTCTTATAATTTCAATATTGTGCCTTCTCTCTAAAAAGGATTTTTCATTTTTTTTTTGAACCAGAACATTTTTCGTAATTTTTGCACTGAACAGAATGGAATAGTGAAATAGGATTCATGTAGGCAACCCCGTATAGTTGGGATAAGGCTTAGATGATGGTGAGGATGATATTTTTGTAATTTGTGGGTAATTTGGATTTAAATATTTTTGATTTTTTTTCAAATTAGTTTTCTAGTTTTTTGCTTTCTTATGAATAGTGTTATGTTTCAATTTTCTGGAAGTATTCCATTCTTCGTATAATGAAAATACGATTTATAGTATCTTTTGGACATAATATTTATAATATTACCCATAATTACTATTTATAGTAAAACTTTGATTTACCTTTTTTAATAGTTTGTGCTCTACTGCCTCTTTACATTAAGTTAGTTTTAGTGGAATTAGTAGTCATTGTAAAGGGAGATCTAAGCCTCTTGTGTAATCTATAAGTAGAGTCATTGTAATTGTAACTCGAAAGTTCTCTTACGGAAGACGGGGTGCTGCTGAGAGTTCTAGACTTGCCCTTTCACTTGTGGAAGCAGAATGTTGCTGCATCTATCGTGCAGTTATGTGGTGGTATTCTTGTTGGAGTCTTCTGGGGACCTGTGCTCAACAACTCTTCTTTTAAATAGAGTGAAACCGGAAGATATACTTGGGAAGGTGGAGATAAATGGGGGAAGGCTGCTTCTACTCGGTGTGGCTAGCCGCCTCCATAGAAGCGACACTGTGGAAGGTGGCTTGCAAGGAAGGGGACGAGAAGGTAGAAGAAGAAGCCCTACGTGGACCAAGGAGATTGAACTCAAAGATTGACATGGCTTTCACTGATTTGGGTAAGCAAAAACTGGAGATTAGAAAAGAGCTGGAGCAGTTGGGTGGTCACTTATGTGGAAAGCAAGTTATCAGAAGGGATGACAACATATCTTATGCTCAGGTGGTGAAAGACGGAAAGAATCCTGATTTAAAATCAAGAGAAGAAGGGGAGATAAGGGGTTCAAACCAGATCGAAACAAAAAGTGGTGCATCTGAACTGGGAACATTGGGGACTGACTGTGACTTTGTAAAGCATCATGTGCCGATGCAGGTCAGTTTGAGTGGGCCTCAAAAATTTGCTGGGCCTGTTAAAGAAACAAAGGATGGGCCGTGCGCTCAAGGACCTAAGTCGGCCCAGAATCGTGGCTCCACTAGCCTTACACGTGATTCACTTCACATGATTGAAAGGGGGTAGCTCCAATAGATGGTAAGAACCATCTATCTTCTCTTTCCTTGAGCTCCTCCTCCCAGGTTCGTGTGCAAGACACAAGCTCACCCCCAAATAGCTCCCTGCAATGGATCCCCTTAAGAAATTAAAGATTCTCTCTCTGGGAAGATGAAACCCAGATGCATTAAACGACGAGACCTTGAGCTTCTTGAAGATGCTGAATGGTCAGGTGAAGAGGGTAGTGATGCTGATGACTTGATTGATACAGAGAGTTTGGGAAGTATTGACCTGCATGCAAAAATGGATATGTTACAGGAAGAAAACTTCAATACAGAGATTCTTTACATAGAAGGAATCTCTCAAGGGGAAGTTGGGGAGGCGAGGAGGATCGAAATTACGGCTCCGGAAGCTAAGTTTATTACACCCCCTTCCATGAGGGAGAAACTACAATCTCTCAGACCAAAAACGGAGTTAATATAAATGGATAGGACTCTCTGGTGGACTGTGAAGATACGCCAGGAAGGAGGGAACAGGAACAAGCCTCTCCGGTGGTAAGAATAGACAAAGGTGAAACTTTAACCTTAACCATCTCACTGCAAATGCCAACTAGGGGGGAAGGTGTGATACTGCCTATAAGTCCTCAGCTGCAGGATTTGATTAGTCCTTCAACTACTCCGCCTTAAGGTATGGGTGTTCATTTGGTTTCTGTTACTGATCCATGTGTTCAGCCTATTATAGATACTCTAACATCCCACCTTGAAGGAGCAGAGTTGGTGTCAAAAGGTGGGGTTGAGGGTGCGGGTGGCAATCAGGAGCATAAGAAGAAGGAAGACTCAGTTCCTTATGAGGGCATGGGGGAGGAGGTGGAGGGAATTTGGAAGCTGATTTGTATAGAATTTGGGGAAATCAGACTGAAGGAAGGTTACTTGGAAGAGAACCCTTAGAAGAAGTGGCCAAGTGAGGAAGGAGAGGGTGATGCAGTGGAAGATGATGAGGGGACAAAAATGGATCCTAAAGCAGGAAGATGTTCTTAGAAGGATGACCTTGGGGTAGGAAAAGAAGTTAAAACATACCATAGGAAATCTGAGGAGAAAAAGGAGAATAAAAAAAAGTATAGAACGAAGGTGCAAAGGTTAACCTTTGACATTGAGGCTGATCTTGAGTTTAGTGGAAGGGGAGAGAGGAGGAAGCATTCTTGGGGAGGAGCTGGATTTAGGAGGGCTTATATAAAAAATTATCTATGAAAATTATCAGTTGGAATGTGAGAAGGTTGGGAAGTGCTAGGAAAAGGTGGGTAATAAAGGATTTACTCACTAGAGAGAAGCTTGATATCGTGATGGTGCAAGAGACAAAGCTCTTTGAGTTGGATGGGAGATGGGTCAGTAGTTTTTGGAGGTCTAGGGGTGTTAGTTGGTCCTCGGCCCCATCTTGGGGAGCCTTTGGAGGAATTGTCACTACTTGGAAGAATGAGGTAGTGGAAGCGGTGGAGATAGTAGGTAGATACTTTTTCTCCATTAAATTCAAGAATGTGGAGGATGGATTTTGTTGGGTGCTTACCAAGGTGTATGGCCCTAATACCTATCGAGAAAGGGATGTGCCCTGGTGCTTGGGAGGGGACTTTAATGTCATAAGATAYTCCGAGGAACCTAGCAGCCATGTACAATCAATTACAACAAGTATTAGGAAGTGCAATGTCTTTATAGAAGATTGTGAGCTAAAAGAAATTCCCTTGATGCATGTTAGATTCACTTGGTCTAGCTTCCAAGATAATCCTCTTTGTTCAAAGCTGGACTGGTTTTTATTCAACCTAGAGTGGGAGAACTACTAGGGAAATTTGGTTTCTAGAGCTTTGCCTAAGGTCACCTCAGACCACTGCCCCATCATGATTGGTGTGGACTCCCTAATTACTAGACCTAGACCCTTTGGGTCTGAGAATATGTGGTTAACCCATTCGGACTTTGGGAATAGAG